TGAAGAGGCTAAAGATAAATTTAAACGCAGTAAATATAATATAAATAACACACTTACACATAATATTAATAAAATACTTATAATACACTTATTTACATAAATATGTTTAGTCTTTATTCTTTAAATTATGATCGATTCAACTAGATATTTCAATATTATTATCTCTGAAGATATCTCAGATATATCTTATATATTCGATCTATAATATTTTCACTGACTTCAAAAAGAAAAGGTTCGATTATAATGAATCTTGTTTAAACAATAGAGTATATTCTTATGCTAATCCCATAAGTTTCGTCAAGATTCGAGTTTTATTGTTATTATTACATAGATACTATCCAATGTCAAACCAGTCACGAAGTTCAAATACTTATGAACTAATCGTGCGTGTTTACTAATGCACCCTGCATTAGTGAGCCCGCACGATTGGGTCACTTAGGGTCACCACGAGCATACATGTATGTACATGGTATACTTTTTGTATGACTAGTTTAATGCACTGAGTGACAAGGTAAACGTTATTGAACTCTGCCCCGTAGAAAGTTAAATATTATTATATACATGGACAGCGTTGACCTTTTTATTACTCGACTGTAATGGAAAGGAGGATAATGTTTTTCGAAAGTATTTATGGAAGGATAACCCGATTTCAGCCCTACGTATAGTTAAAATAACTCGACAGACTAATAAACTGGATGTCATTTGTTTGTCGTTGTGTTGTATATAATAGTTATATACTATATATGGTAGTTGTATGATTGTTTGACGTAGAAGATCTTGCCAGTGATGACCTATGAAATCAAAACATGATCCTACACGGTTGTCCATATGCAAAAGCTTCCAATTTCTAAAGAGGGCTATGCTCGAAGTTTCGTTGCATGATAAAATCCGAACATAGCCCAAAGGATACGCAAGCTAAAGTGGCAATAAGTCTGCTCACAAGCTTGAAGAACCGATAATCGATGAGGAAGAAAGTTTCTTGAGTGGTGACCCCGTACTGGCAAACGTAGTATAGGGCGACCTCCCACTAAATGGAGTAACGACCTCAAATGCATTGCAGAGAGTCCCAATTGCATATACTCGATACTTTAATATAGTGACCATAAAATGGTGCCTTGCCGTGCTCACTGTGACAGTTCAAGTCGTGATAAAACACTCGGTATAATATTAAATATTCAGTTTATAGCGAACCCACGAAATATAGCATATGCAAACTAGTGGCACAAGACTAATCATTAAACCCGACATTTGCATGCAAATAACAAATAATGGAATGTTTTCATGGAAATAATTAAACAAAAAAATTATTTTGATGGACATAGTGTAACTTTTACTTGTAAATTGTTTTCTAACTTTCTTCAAATATTATGCTTTATTCAAATGAGAACGATGTATTTACTACAATGGCCTAAAATGGATCCTGATTTCTGAATTATTTTAATACTACCTTTTACGTAAGATAGGACAGGATAGAAACTAGCCTATGTCCTTTTCCATCTCATAAAGTGCGTGCACGTCATATTTCATAGTAATTTATTAAGCCGTCAAAACGCTTAATGGTGACAAACAAACAAACTCGCTTTCACATTTATAATAGTAACTAATGATAACAATTTATATCCATAATGTAGGTAAATATAAATTGAAGCTTTCTAAAATTTTAAACAAAACTTCTGATATTTTTTACAGTTGTTTTGTTCTAATATACCTAATAATAACATTTACTGTTCGTCGGACGCGATTCTCTGCACCGTAACATTACATTTTGTACGAGTATTCGTTTCACCGATGCTTGCAGCAAACAGTGCATATTATTAAGTTAGTACCGCACTTTATGCACTATGGAGCACCGTCTAGGCCAATTTGTGTTCAAGATGCAGGTAATGGAACCTAGAATTTTAGACACCGCCGACTTCTTCGAGCCTGCATGCAAAAACTTTTTAGTATTCTTATTTTAAGTTTTCTTAAAATAGTTTCTTAATAGTTTTTCTCGAAAATATACAACTTTATCTCCAGCCATTAAGTTCTTACTGCAATTACCATTTCTATTTTGTTTTATACAATTTATTGGATTAATCTATCAATGTAACTAAAACAATTAAGTTTTTTCATTAATTCGTTACCGACGTTCACTCAGTTTTTATGGGCTCGCAAAGTCACGATTTGTAATTTAGCAAGAAATATAAAAAGCAGACAAGGAATAAAAATATATTGTATTCCTGTGAAGTTTTAAGAACTGTAATCTTTTGAATATACCATTATGGTAATATATACAATGGAATTCGAAAGATACTAATTTTATTTATGAGATAACGCTTATGGGTCTCTTGGCATTATCTTTTTTATCTAACATGCACTGGTTTTTATTTTAATAACGTGTCGAAGGTAAAATGTCGCCATATGGTAATTAACTAGACAAGGCAGTATAGAGCATGGCCTGATAGCGTTATCTAATCTATGCTAAGAATGTTCTAAAATAATTTATTCGCACATTGAATAAATTTATCTATCACAATAGTCAGGAGCAACATCATTGAAAGTTACAAGGTTATATACAAATTAAAATGACCAGAAATTGTTCTTAAAATGTCTTAAAATCAACTAATACAGTTATAAGGAGAATCAGCGTATACAAACGTATACTGAAAGTATAGAATTGTTAATAACCGGGTGAGGGTCTCTATTGCTAGCAATATACTATATGAGGACGATCCGTAACACTTGATATCCCCCTGGAAACTAACCGCATTATATCAGCCGTTTACTGTCCACTGCTGAACATAGGCTTTCCTCACATACTGCCATAAGGAATGATCCTGAGCATTTGAAGTTTCTTCAATGCATTTGAAGTTGTCACTCCATCTAGTGGGGGTCATCCTACACTGTATTTGCCCATACGAGATCGCGACTCAAGAACCTTTTTTCTCCATCGGTTGTCAGTTCTTTGAATGATATGACCAACCAGTGCCTTTTCAGCTTGCTTATACTTCGGGCTATTTCGGTTACTTTAGTTCTTTTGTGGTTATCCTCATTTCTGATTCTGTCACGCAAAGAAACTCCGTGCATAAACATCTTCATAGTCCGCCGAGTAATTTTGCGTACGAAAAATCATATAGAACTATGGTTCCTCGGTATTTTCGTTCCATAAGTCATCAGTAGCAACACGCACTAGTTAAAGACTTCAAACTTTGAGGTATTTTGGATGAAACCATAGATTATATCGTAATAAATTCGTCACGATGGTACATCAAATCTAACCTCGTCTTCGTCATTTCAACTTCCACTCCCACTCAACTACACATCATTATCAAACCATGTTAGTAAACATTCAATAATATCTATTAAAAAGTAAACCCATAAATGTACTTGTGTTTATAAAACCTATAAATAATTATAAGGTGAAAGGGTACCTAATAAATTCGAAATTTGGCTACAATATTCTTAAAAGAGAACAATTTTCTTAAACGGAAATGGCAATCTACATTACGTATACGAAAGTAAATTTTGAAACTTTCTTACTAAAATATTCATATCACAACGCAATTTTTAACAAGATATTTTCTTTTGCTTTTATGTATAGAAGACTGATATTTTTACATATTAACGATAATCCTTTTTATTATTATAAATGCAAGATTTTCTTTGTTATGTATTGGTGCCTTAGCAGCTCAACAAAATACCATAAAATTTAGTATAGGTACATAGATTATTGGCACACATGAACTATTTGGTATGGACAAGAATATCTGTTACTTTTTATTCCTTCAATCAATATATCACATAGATTATTTCATACACACATTGAGCGTGATACTCGTAATAACTTTGCATTTAGATATTCCCTTGACCTTTATATAATTAACGTATCGATAAAAGAATTACTCTGTATATGATTAAAATTTAGAAAAAAAATGATGATGAAGTGATGCATTACTCTATGGTTTGCGCTATACGATACCGGTGATATTTGTAACGCCTGGCGCCAACATTCCTCAGGTCGAGCACGGAAGGTGATTCTTTGGAATCGCATCATATTTAGTTTGTCACATGACCTACTAGTCGATTCGATTACAATTAATTTACTGGACGATTTATATATATATATATATATATATATATATATATATATATATATATATTAATAGAGCAGTCTACATAAAATAAAAATATTATTTCGGTTATTTTTAACATCACTTCTTTTCTATAAGTTATATATAATATAAATATCGCGAGAATAACCTGACTGTCATTCATGATTGAAAAATACGGTTTAGTTAACTAATTAACATTAATAACTTTATAGAAAAAAAAATAGTATTAATACTTGCTTAATTTTCAGTATTTTTTTTTTATGATTGGCGAGCAAAATATTTTTTATATGCATTATTAATTGTGCTGTAGAAAATATCAATACGCCTACAAGATTATTCACAGTTTTTCTGCGCACACTTTCAAAAGACATCTGAATAAAAATATTTCTCCAAACGTAAAATGCATCAGAATTTAAAACTTTTTATGGCGCTGTTGAATTTCGTCCTAACACGATTACATTATTGAATAAATAAAAATATATATGTAGAGATATTTTGCTAACTTGGATGTTGTGTTTCGATCGTGTAGTTATATAATAATCCACATTTCCGGTTCCTATTTATCATCAGTGAAAGTTCTACAACTTGGAGGTCTAAGTACGACAAAATTCTTCATGTCTTACACGTTATATCATTATTTTCTTTTTTTTTTCTTATTTTTTATATTGATTCCAACTATTGGCAGACTATTATTTAATTTCTTGTTCCTTACATTAATTTTAGAAAAGGAAATATGACCTTAATTTTTAAAATAAGACGAGAATAATCGCATAAATATAAAAATTAGGCCTTTATCGCACAGTAAACAAATTGTGATTTTAAAAACTCATATTTCAACAGAAAAAATAAAAATAGCCATAATATATAAAAAATGTTGTTTATTTTCCTGAAAACGGCTGAAAAACTCACCTGTCAGAAGCAGCGCGAGCGCCGTCCCGTAACGCATCACGGCCAAGTTTTTTTTTTTTTTTCACTGGGAAAAATTAAATACGATTCACAGTTAGCGAACTACTTTCAAAATGTATTGTTGCGTTCCTTGCACGAGATGTGCGCACGTCCCGATGCGCAGCCGGCGTCAGACTGTCGGCGCCTGCGCAGCTCGCTAGGTTTTGCTGTTTGCTGACACTCTGTGTTATGCAAACCTCTTGCACAAATCTCGCATCCACTCTCATGAGATGTTAATAAGTTATTTTTTTAATTAGCGAGCCCACTCGATGGACATTTAGGGTAATGAGGTCATAAGAGATTATTATATCGATTAAATCGTTTATTAGAACAAAAGAACCTGATAATCATGAAAACCTTACAATAAAAATATTATAACATTATTTATAACAGCCCGTCTAATGGAAAATTGTAATTACCATCTACAAACATGAGCCATTAATTAAAATCAATCAAGCCCGCATGTTATTCAGGATTCGGTCCACCTGTTTATCGAATTTAATTCAAGTCTATTCAGTTACAAATATTCAAATAAACTTTCACATATAAATTATTAGTGGTCACGTTTAATTATTATCGCGCTTTATATATATATATATATATATATATATATATATATATATATATATATATATATATATATATATATATATATATATATATATATATATATATATATATAATATATATATAAAAATCCCTATGAAAATCTGTTCACCTTTCCTTTACATTTGATCCTTCATCGTATCTATAAAATACAGCAAAAAAATAAAGCAAGTTTTAAGTGCAATCTTTCTCAAAGTGTGGAGCCTCAGAAAACCATTTCAGAAATTCAACAAGCTCAAAGAAATCTAGAGTGCATTGCAAAAATTGTATTTCGCTCAAACATATTTTGCCAATTCTACTGTTACAATAACACTGCAATTTCACGATCCTTTCATAGAAAAATCGAAATGAATCAAGTTGAAATAAATCGAAAATTGGTAATAAAATAATAATTTCCTGTATTTTGATCAAATGTTTATATTTCAAAATCTTTCTAAGAACAGTAACAGTGAAACCAGTAAAAACTTTTTTTTATTTTCAAGTGGGTAAAATAAGTTTGAGAACCTGTAATCTACACGAATATTTATTAGCAAACTGATATCTTCCTCATAAAGTAAACATTGTAATAATACAGCCTTCTGTATTTCAATAAGGAAACGATGAGAAGAAAAACATAAATGCTATTCTATAACTTAAGTTTTGAGTGTTGTGTTGTTACCGTGATTTTGGTAACATAGTGCGACTAGAGTCTGTCTCAATAGATGATTAAAACTTATTGAAGAAATATAAAGAAACTAACAATTTACCCGTTTATGAAAGAGTTTCATTTTTACCGTTAACTATCCACTGCTGAATATAAGCTTTCCTCATAAGAGCAGTTTTCCCAGTAGTTGCCACGCTTGGTAGATAGATTGGCAACCGCAGTTAAGCTTTTAGAGAAGTTTTAAGATGCATGGACCCATCCTTCGTAAGATATATTTATAAAACAGTTTGCTGATGTCCAAAAGTAACACAATTCAAAAATCAATTAATCGACTGAGTTTTTCAATTCGTTACTATCTCTGTTTCTATGATAATTTCGATAAAACTTATTTAGTATTTAATTAGATGCTATTGAATTAAAATATAGTATAGTGTTTGAAGCGATATTATTGATAAAAAAAAAACTATTAAAAAGGTCTTTTAGACCTAAACACTGGACTCACATTACTGTTTCATAGTAAAGTAGAAAAAGACAGTTATAATGGATGATAATAGGGTACCAGTAAGAGATGATGATAATGATAGATAAGAATAAAAGCAGGTCCATTAGCCCATCGTGGCGAATTCCACAATGGTTTTCAAAGGAAACTACGTAGAGTCGACCTGATAAAGTATAGTACTGGGACAACAATGTTCTCATTATTAACAATCCTTTTCCCCTGTAACAAGTAGTTTTTTTTTATGTCAGTTAGCCCATCACGACGAATTCATCAGGAATGTAACACGATAGTTTCCAGAGAGGACCGCGTAGAGGTCGACCTATTTGATATGTAATCCCAATTGTAAAAGGTGATTTTTTATGAAGAGGGGATTACATAGACTTATTTGAGTTGCACAAAACTCTACCAAATTTGAAACATTCGCTGTGAATATAGCTTTACTTTTTATTGGGGTTGGAATAGTCAGTAGTCACTTTTGGTGTCACTGGCTGAATTATTAGCGGTTAGATTAACGGTAGGTATGTTGCGCTCATTTCCTGTATTCGCTACCACAGAAACTTGTTTTGCACATTATACAAGGACGATTTTAAGTTTCTAATTGAGTGCAGGCAATAATAATAATAGTATTAGCTTTTGTCTGCTATTTCATACATACGAATTTCAAAAGTAGGAATAACAATGGATTGACCACTTCTAGATCATATATCAAGGTAAAACTATAAGTTTTACACCAGATTTTAAGTTAGACCTTCAGAAACATAACTGTTAATACTGCATCTAACTTGATATATATTTTGCATAATATGGAAACCAAAACAGACAGACAAAATTTCTAAAAATTATTGTTTTGGCATTTATTAGTCTTATTAAGACCCCTCATATTATTTTTTCTTAAATGTCTCTCATGTACGAACAACCGCTAGTTACAATTGTATTATGTTAGTAAAGAAGCATAATCCACTAAATCATTAAACTAAAGAGAATTCCCTAAAAGTTATCTGACTCTCCTGCAAAGTTCAAATATCGGTGCAAACATTTAGGCGAAGATTAGTAGACGTAGTAGTAGATTTAAATATAGAAGTAAATCTAAAATAAAGTTAAGTACCTACTAGTATATATAGAAAAAAAAATATAAATATCATCATTTCAGCCATTATCCGTCCACTACTGGACATAAGCCTCCCCCATAGACTGGCAAACAAACAAATATACTTGCTAGGTATTCCACGAGTTTCTAAATTCAATAATGTTTGTTGTATTGATATTTATAATTTCAAAAATAGTTTGAAAATATGAAAGTGATATTATAACAATTATTTTGGAAAAAAAATCGTAATTACCTTACAATTTCATAATAAATGTTAATATAAAAATATAATTATTTCGTCTCGCAAAACAAAAAACCGACATTGTAATAAACTGTGTTGACTGGTTGTAACTGTATGCTATGTTATATGACTAAGATTTCAATTTTAGATTCCAATATAGCTAATATTCTTAATAAACACAAACTAGATTTATAAAGAAATTATTTAATATAGTTAATAACTAAAAACGTGACAGTTTTATAAAATAAATAATTATTTTTAATGATAATTAATATAATTATTCATTATTAATTTTATTAATTTATAAAACCTATATGCACAAAAACTTGCATCGATGACATTTGACAGCTAAGTAACTAATGTTGCTATTATTCAAAAGTTCTAAAAATAGTAGGTCCTATTCCGTCTATGAGTAACCGTGAAGTGAAGTTTTCCAAATTCGTTAGTAAATCATTATATTTGATTTTTTTTTTAAAAAGAATAGTAACCAAATTTCAGTACTGAATAACTTAAAATTTTACTAATGGCAACTGGATGAAATAAAAGTGAAAGGAACTGTTGTCTTATTGGCTACTTAGAACTCTTCAAAAAACATTACTACCCAATCAGCGACACGACCTTGATATATTGAGCAATCGCTATAGGTCCAAGTGACACATTGTCAAAAAACCGGAAACAAGTTAGTCAAGCAAATTTTACTTATACTTCTTCGAAAAGTTAAAATGTAATTGTTAACTTTCACATAAAAACTTTATTCATTGTTAAGTGTAAGTTATAGAAATGACACGAGAAATGTTAAAATTATGTTTAGTTTTAGTTATAATCATCGCACAAAGTGAGTATAGCTTACATACTTTTGAATTATTCTGACAACTTTCTCTACCAGTAAGGGTCGTTCACTTTGTTGCGTTGCAGGTCAGTCACAGGAAGACGAGGATGGCCCATACCTAGGCAAATACATTGGTAAACTAAACACGTATCACCATCAGGTAAAGATACATTCATAAGATCAATCTTATAATAATAGAAATATGAAAGTTTTCATACAAGGATACATGTTTGTATATTTGTTATTCACTCTCCCTTTGACAATTGTTACAACTATTGTTTTATAAAATATATTTGCATTTAAACGTTAATAGGTTTAATAGTATCTGCAACAAATATAACATTTAATGTACTAAAATGTTTACAATTTGAAAATAATAAAAAAAAAAAATCTCATTACCAAGGCTATTCATTACCCATATTATAAAACTACAATTATTTATCTGAATAATTACTTCCATATAATAACTTTGCTTAACTTTTTGACTGCTCGGATTTGTAGCTACTGCTGTTTGTACAATGTTTCACTCAAATCAATAACTATGATACTTTATTTTTAATACTTCTGATTATGATAAATATTGTAAACTTTCTTTATATATTCTATCTTTATTTAATGGCAATAATATGACAGCTGGCTAAACTCAGAAAAAAAATATGTAAATACAAAGAGAGAAGAGAAGTCAAAGTTCAATTTTTGTGTAGACTTCAACACACTTTTATTATTTTATATTTAATTCAGGTTTCAGGTGATGTATATGCAGTGGATGATTGGACAATTCTATTAGTAAAATTCAATTATGATGGTACTGGAGAAGACACATTTTTCCGAGCTGGTGACTCGGGCCGACCTGGCCCACAAGGTTTTATTATCCCGGACGAACATGGCAAGTGAGTACAAATTAATTAAAATATGTATTTACACAAGAAATCCTAAGTAAATGTGCACAACATTTGTAAAGTTTTAATTAATGTTTAATATTATTTATAATATTGTTTTTGCACCATATATCTCCTTTGGGGTTCTGAAGGTTGACTGGAAGAAATCCCTTGAAATAATAAGTCTACCTGCATGCATTTTTGTTATAATTTAATATCTATATTATAAGATAATTATAATAAATATAAAAGCTTTCAACACCAGAAAATAAGACCTCATAACACCTCAAAATTAAGTAAATTTTTTTTAAATCTCACTTACTTAAAGTTCTAGTCAAGTCATAAAACATGTTGTCAAAATTTCCTTTATATAATCTGTGTACTTGCAGAATATATATTTTTATAAAAAAGATTAGAACTTGTTTGACTTCCTGAGTATCAAAAAATGACATTTAAAATTTATGATTGCTGTTTGTCAAACTTAAAAGCATGGAAAAAGGAGGTTTACCTCCTTTTTCCAGGCTTTTAAGTTTCAAACCAAATTTCTTTATATTTATATAAAGAAATTTGATTTCAAAACACAAATGTCCCTTGTCTATACATCTTTAAAATTCATGTTACAATAAAAAAGCAATAGAACTGTGTATTGCTACTGCTGATACTTTCAATCTAAATAATTTCCATGATTGCAGTAATAATTGCTTAATTATTTAACAGTGGCTTGTTTACCCTATTACAATTATGAATCCCGATAGTCTAAGCTATTCTACTTCTATATTATTTGTAGGCTTTCATACCTCAATAACCAGAACCCTTATAATATTATTTTGTTGTCTATTTGTAAAGATCCTTTTTCTTCTGAATAGCTAAGGGTCTCAAGTTCTAATTTTTACTACTGCATCTGAAATATTCAAAATTCTAAATCAATATTTTTATAAATAGCTGTAACTGTAACTGCCAAGAATAAATTCACACCACACTTGTTTTTCAAAATCCTGAAATTTGGCATAAAATATAACCTTATAATGACTTCATAGGAGATTTTAAAATCGGGTTTTTTATGGTAGATTGGATACATTCCATTTTGTTCATCCATCCGCATTTGTAATCTGCATTAATAAAAGGAGTAACTGTATCCTAATAGAACAAACATTCTGGAGCGCTACCATGATGCAGAGCTTCGGCTGTCCTTGCCGGAGGGCAAGCGACTATCGCGCATTAAGTGGTTCGCAGTATACGACATCGCCAGTCAAAATGCGTTTGGGGATGTCTACGTGCCTGATGACTTCGAACCACCAGCGCCGCGCTCGCTAGGTGCGCTAGCCGCTTCTGGCTCGCCTGCCGTCTCTAGCCAACCGGTGCAGGTGCTCGATTCCGTCACTATCCTGTGAGTATTGTTTTTTCTGACGTCCCTGATCATTAATTGTCCTCGTACAACCAACTGAAGAGAGACCCAACTTTGAAACGGTCTGATGTTTTGGTGGCGACCTTGGGCTTCATCGTTAGGCATTGCCCAAATACAAATGCTCTACTAATGACAATAATCTTTCAAAACTTAATAACGCATGACTTACATATAAATAAGTATTCATTTAAAATATTATCAAAAAATAATGGTAAACTTCTCGTCATAAAATAAAAATATGTATAACTAGATTTTTACTGCGACTTTATCTGCGTGACTAAGATGTATTAATAGAACCAAGATAAAAACCGTTCTTGTCCATCTAAAACACTATGTGTATACGAAATTTCTTGACGATTAGTAGAATTTTTAAGGTACCAAGTGGTAACAAACAAACACCCTTTAACATAATATTAGAAAATATAACAATGAGCAATCGATATGTGAACGTATTTTGTTCATCAAATTTATCATTAGTTATGCCATTGCAGTATCCCTGAACTTCGGTACGACGGGAGCGGTGAAGAGGTTTACTTCTGGACGGGCAACGGAGCACAACCATCCGCCCACGGACAGATAATACCTGATGAGTATGGATAGTAAGTGTCAATTAGAAACATCTTTAAAACTGACGTCCAAGGAAAATAACTTCTAACCAGCTACGACCCCATGTTGTGCCCTTGGAAAGCTTTTTTGATAAGTATCATTTATTACTATTGTAATATTTTACTAAACATATATGTTATTGAATACATTTATCTATGTTTACGCAAATTCAGAAATGAGAATATGTGCCTATGGGTACTATTGTCACCAAGCACAGGTCTAAACTAAAATAATGATATTTATGATTACTTTTAATCGCTGCTTGTGAATTTAGCTATGTTCCTGCAATACAACTCTTTTCACACAATTATTCGAGACAGTCTTTAAAATAGTTTTGGAGTTGACACTCAACTGTGGTCCAGTCTCAAGATCGGATTCCAGCATAAATCTGAATTTTCAATTCATATTTGATTGTTTAAAAAATTATTGTTACATGTTTTTAATTAACGATTGGGACTTAACGCTACGCTACTACAGGTAAATAATGCATATATACCTGATTTTTATTATCGTGGACTGCCAGAAGAAGATGCCGTTCACTTCAGTTCTGCATTGTCTATGACATGGTGAAACTCATATAGAAACATGCGCAATAAAAATCAAACAAATAGGTAAATAGTTTACCTGAATTAAAATCGCGTCGCCTTAAGTCCGATCATAAATTTAAAATTTGTGTAAACAACGCGAACGTTTAAAATTAACTAAATGAATGAGATCCTAACAGTGTTCCTTCATTAGTAGTGTGAAGGTGATACTAAGACCTCGAAACAACTTCTTTAAAATTAAAAAGAAGGTGGCATAAGAGAACGATGCCTTACGAAAGTATTACACTTGACTGCAGTCCAAAGACCCAAGATTGAATCCCAATATGAATCTGATTTTTATATTAATTTTGAACTACTGGAAAAATTATTGTCATTTGCTTTTTTTTTTTATACAACTTAGAATGAAAACTTTTTGTCATATTGGACTAACAGAGTATACTGTTTCCAGGTGCCATTCCTGAGGACTGAATATGTATCATATTCAAATGACAAATAAAGGAAACGTGTTGAATACTCATTCATTACGTATTTGACCATCCATCCTTACCAATATAATACAATAGACTTATAGATACCTTGTAAATTTTATCAGCTTGGAGCCGCTGCGAGTATACCGCGGTGAGGACGTGCGTTTACGGTTGCCTGGTGATCTAACGGTATCGCGTATCGACTGGCTCGCACTGTGGGACAAACCAAATCGCCGCGCGCTTGCTTCTGTGCTTATACCGCGAGCGCTCAACGTACCGCCAGCACCTGTGCGGCTACTGGAGTACAAGTATGTATATATTTTTAACAATTTAGAATAACAAACAAGTTGATGGCCTCTCACATAGAAAATTACAACTGTCGAATACAGATCTGAATATCATCGTGAAGCGCACAAAATACAGGCGACATTTAGGCAAAAAACACTGAAAAATGCTAAAGAATCTGAACGAAACAGGTCTGTTTGAATTGAAGCATTTAGCGTTCTATTGTTTCTGCCTACCCCAATTGGAAACAGGCATACGAATATGTATATATATTCATATAGCTTACATGGTACCCCTTCATACATCACCATTCATGAGGACTAGGATGTTATGCCTCCGCACCTTTGTATTGTACGAGGTCTGTCCGGAAAGTTCGTATAAAAGTGTTCTGGAATGCGAGAAAGAGGAGTGGGGAGGCCAGGTAAGCGCAGGACCCCTTCCTTATAACAATGCTTCAACCGCCGTGCGGTGCGAACTGGCTTGTCACGCCATCTGTGAAGTTACCTCTTAACGAAACCCCGTCGGCATGGAGCCCGCTTCCGTTGAAGAGCAGCGCGTCGTAATCAAGTTTCTCTCGAAACTCGGCAAGAATGGCCGTGAAATTTTTGCCGATCTCAGAACAGTTTATGGGGATGATGCTGTGAAGGAACCAACCGTTGGCTAAAAAGATTCAGAGAGGGCCGAGACAATGTTGATTGTTTTTTTCGATGTTCGGGGGATTGTCCATCAAGAATTCGTCCCTCCAGGCCAGACAGTTGATGGAAAATTCTACGTCGATGTGCTCAGACGCCTCAAAGCTCGTGTGGCACGAGTTCGTCCAGAATTGGCGCGAGAGGGGCGTTGGATTCTTCACCACGACAATGCCCCTGCCCACACCTCTCTTGTTGTCCGTGAGTTTTTGAGTAAAAATTCCATTACGGTGACCGAACACCCCCCCCTATTCGCAGGATTTGGCCCCGTGTGACTTCTTCTTGTTCCCAAAAACCAAATTGGTACTTCGGGGGCGGCATTTGGGGGACATAAATGAGATAAAAAAAGCTACGACGGGGCAGCTGAGAAACCTACAACCAGAGGACTTTCAAGGAGCCTTCTCACAGTGGAAACGGCGTTGGCACAAGTGCATTATGTCACAGGGGGAGACTTTGAAGGGGATAAAATTGATTTACCTGAATAATTGTAAAATAAAATTTTTAAAAAACTTTTATACGTACTTTGACAAACCTCGTAATCCTATGGTTTTTATGCATCCATGCATGGGTTAACCAAACTAAGATGTTTTAAATAAAAATACTGCTGAATCATTTGACCTTTTCGTGACTACCTCCAGAGCACAGAGATGAGGCTGATAAAGTTTTGCATAAATGACTTTGATTCTCGGTTGAATCAATTTAGAAACAACAAACTTTTCTAAATTGACTCAGATCTAGATATTCTTTATCTGAGCACAGATTCCTAATCTGAGGTCCAGAAAAATGTACCTGTATGTGCCACTTATTTATTTAATAAAAAATTCTTAGCTTAGACTGGAATTACTCTAGACTAACTGCAGCCATTCACTCCCAGCAACATATTTAAGTTCATCCATCTAATAGGGTCACCTGCACTGCGTTTCCTTGTATGGGGTTGACATGCCATCCATGTATACAGACATCGTGCAATTACAATTTTATTATATTAGTAAGATATCACTTTAGATCTGCGGTTGTCCTTATTACCCTTTTAGATAATGAACACTAATTTTAATTTAATATTTGCGACCTTTACAGATCGACACTGCCTAATTGCAAACAACTGCACCGAGATTACCAGGTATCCTGGGAAGTGTTCGGCAACCAGATTACGATAGAGCTCGCTGCTCAGGTATAATATATTATGATAATTATTATGACCTTTACTAAAAGTTAAAAAGAGAATTTATTAGTTGTTTAATCAGCTTTCAATAGAAAAAAAATCTCAGTATGTTGCAATTATATTACAAAATTTCTTCGCCAATTATCAACTTATTCTCTTACAGTTATAAACGGTAGCATTTCATATTGATCATATTTTTCTTTACGCAACAAAAAACTGCTTGTTACGTAGCAAAATCTATATGTAGACATGCGATGCAAGTATTTACAATGTGCGTTCAGAATTAAGTCGCGTTTTGTTTCATTAATATTTCACAAAATTTCAATCAATTATTTATTTTGAGATTTCAATCTGTGGTTCTTGGGAAGAATAATTCAGTTTTGTGAATCACTAGATTTCAGTATATCCATTAAGTTTGAGCATATATTATTATTATGTAAGCCGTTCACTGTCCACTGCTGAACATAGACCTCCCTTATAAGGAAGGATTTTGCCAGTCGTTGTCATGCTTGGCAGACAGGATGGCAACCGCAGTAGCCATCCATTGCCAATCCCTCGACCATTGACTTCTCTTAGTCGCCTCTTACGACACCCACCAGAATGAAAGGGGTGCCCCATTCTATGCCGGGGACCATATTGACCATGTATATGATAGTTAGTTAAATTAATCTGACCCATAACACCCTACAGATAGAGGACGACGATTACATGGCGTTCGGGATCTCAGGCAACGCGACGCGGTCAGCGATGCTGGGCGCGGATGTGGCGGTCGCGCAGTATTCACGCACGTTACAGTCCGGGGTCGTAGTCGACTATAACATCACCGCCGTCGCGCCCGTACGTATTTTTTAATGGATTGGTTTTTTTTCCTAGGGAATACCGTTTCCCTAAATATTGAGAGCCCGTTACACTTCGCTAAATGGGAACACCTGCGCTATCGGTAAACGCTGACAGGACACCAGTGAATGTTGATTAGTGAGGATGAAGACAGGTTAGTAGATGGGCCACCATTATGATTAATCTACTAAGGATTAACCGCGATGGTTTCCATGAAGTGCCATAATGACGTCAATGTGACAAACTTTTTTTATGGAATATATCAGATTTTTTTTATACAACTTAGAATAGCAAACAAGCTGACGGCCCACCTGATGAAAGTGATAACCGGCGCCTATAGACATGAGCAGTACCATGGACATAACAGAGTATACTGTTTCGCCCATGACACCCCCCATGCGTTGCCATTCCTGAGGACTCAGGTGTTATTCCTCTGTACCCAGTAAATTCACGCCATATCCAACCCTTCAAACCGAAACACAGCCATGCAAACACAGCTGCTTCACGGTTGAAACACGAATGGGACAGAGGCACCCAAGCAATCGACTTTTGTACAGTCTTCCTCTGGTATTATGGATATGGTAGTATACGGTGTGTTGCCGGGTGGCAGTGCGTACAGGTGCTGGGTGCTTGGCGCGGCGTATGCCGGGACACGCTGCTGGCGGCGCTCGACTCCAACCAGGTGTTCAGCGCCGTCCGCGCCGACTCGCTTACTCGCGTCACCTACCGCCGCACGCTCAAACCCGGTAAGTAAACATCACCACCACTGACACCACCTAACTAACATTTATAAAATAGTCCTAAAAATTTTTGTTACTCACACATCTCTTTTTATATTTTCGTGACACATAGGATATTTTATATATCTGATTCATGCAGGTGCAGCTACGGGAAATAGCTAGTATTTATTATTGTTAGTATCACATTCGAGTATTCTAACACTTCCTTAAAGTTTACTAGGAAAAAATGCTTTTAGCGTTAAATAAATAAATAAAATATATAGATATAAAGATAATCTACTCAGAAATGTGATAGTAATGTTGGATGAAAATTGTAAAAAATGCAGGGTATATACCAATAGAATAAAAAATATTTATTGGCCACGAAACCGTTTCACAAGAAGTACATAACCATAATTACAAAAGAGAAAAAAAAGTACTAAAGGGTCTTTATTACAGCATTAAGCCATCTATAGCTTGGATACATTATAAAGAATAACCTATGTATAAAAATATAGTGACCTGTATATATAAATATATATACAACAAACAGATAATATGTGGAAGTCAATATTCATTAAATAAATAAAAAATATTCAAACTAAGCAGTATAAACTACATTTCCTTTACCTGACCTTCACCACAGAATAAGCAAGAGAAAATAAATTATTGGTTGCTATTTATTTTCAGAGGACAGCACTGACCTAGAATGGGTGACGAGTGGGCCCGCGTACGTAGTATGGGCTGTGGGCGCACTAGACGAGGCCCGTGAGCCTTCCTTCCATCGTCTGTACCCGCGCGGAGATGTCGTCCTGCGACTAATACCGGCCCCCGCTCCCGCCTATGACTGCGTGCCCTTCACTGTGTGAGTACCATGACGTATTTAGAATGTTTTTATCGAAAGATGGAGAATAGAGAAGGAAGCAACAAAAATGGTTTGCTTAATTATCAATGTCCCGCCCATATTTTCTGCCGTGAAGCAGATGTATTTGCACGACAATGTGTATAAGTGGTATAAGACACAGGCTGTATGCTTGTTTACTTTTGTATTATTAAAAAAAAAATATATAGTCAGTTTGTTTTTTATAAAATAATAAAATGGCCTGACCATCGTAAACCGGTTTTCACTGGCGTAGAGTCAGTGAAGAATAAATTGATAAATAAGGATGAAGTCTTTTGTGACAATTTCATTAAAATTTAACCACAATAGTTTCCAAGGAAAACTACATAGTCATTATATTACCTACTAGCAATATGACCATTAGCCTTAATTACTAACAGTCCCTATACCAACAGTGGAACGACGGAAGGCGCGGCAGCGTGGGAAGTGGCGGAACTGTTCGATCCTGCGCTACGCGTATTCCACTTCCGCCTCGGTCCTAGCGGCGGCCGACGAGGTGTATCAGGGAGGCCGGGCAGACGTGCCGCGCCGCCGCTCGCCTGGTACGTCAACGGACAGCTCGCGCCTGATTTGCAGTTGCGTCGTGGCCTTCAATACACTTTCAAGGTACATGGAGTGTAATCCTAATAATATTATAAATGTGGAAGTTTGTAAAGATGTTTGTTACTTAGTCATTCTTAAACGGCTGAACGAATTTAACTAGAATTTGGTACACAAGTAGATTATATACTATCTAGAATATTTTATAAACTGATGCACTCTGGCGGTCACAATAAATATCTAATAATTTGATAAAGTCAATACCTCAGTTGTGACAAATGAATTCAAACATATATTATTTACAATATTTGTACTTAAACAGCAAATACAAAAAATACATTGAGACCAAACCGTGAATAAACCTTATATCGCGTAAAATTTTGCGTGACGTATAAAATTGAATAGATACTAACTTTATGAAGTAATTAAGATTCCCAAAAAACAATGGGTACAATCATGATAAAATTCATATACATAATACTTCTATTGTAAATATTATCAACATGGATTCAAATACAGCGTAGGTATCGTGTGACATACACACAAAAAATACAAGCAAAATGAAAAATATAAATGTCTATCACATTTATATATGACGGTGTTGCATACCAGGTGTACGGCGGCAATGACCCGCACTCTGCCGATGAGTACCACCCGCTGATAGTGACAGCGGAAGCCACGGGCGGACTTGAGCGATTATCAGCAGCGGCTCAACGGGCTACGCGAGTGTTAGCCGGCGTGCATTACCCTCGCCGCGGTAGATTAGCGCCCGCGGCTGCCGGCGGATTATGTATTGGCCGTCGCCCAGTCACCGCGGACGCGAGACGCGACGACGACTACGCGACTTTCCGCTCATTCAATCGCTCCCTACTCTGGGAGTGCGCAGGCACACCTGCCGACCTGTCAATCACACCCAATTCGTCGTGGCCGGACCTCGTCTACTACAACTCTTTCACGCACGCAGGTCGGTATATCTATTTATTTAAAAAAAAATAGATAATTTGTGTAGCAAGTTAAGTACATAACGTTTCTTTTTTCTGGTCCAATACACAAATATTTTACTACTTTTATTACTATTTACTTATTTTTATTACGTTAAGCTAATTATTACTCAATATAAAAAAAATGTTGCAAGTCAGAATAAAATAATAAACATGGTCATGATTTTAATCACAAATGGCGTGGTCAGAAGCATTTGGTGAAATAGCACTAGATAATAGATCATATTTCACCTATCATCATATTTATTTATTTACACTTTATTGCGCCAAGTAAAAAGAGAAATAACAAATACAGTAAATATTAATGAGAAGTGATACAAAAGGCGGCCTTATCGCTAAGCAATCCCTTCCAGACAACCTTTGGGTAGAGTCTTTTTTTTTTTGTCATCTTTCGCCGAATTTTAAATTATTTGAAAATATTCTGTGACTTTGTGACTTGTCTTTTTTTCCCTGAAATTCAAACTTACTCCCTGATAGTAAACTATTAAAATATTATTATTTAGTACCTACCTACTTTATGATTTATTGCAGGTATGGGTGGGCGGATCTTCATAGTGGACCGTCATCGCCGCAACATCGGTCGACGCAACAACGCCCCCCTCCCGACAACCGTCTCGCCCGCCGTTTTTATCACCCTGCTAACAACACTCACGCTTCTGCTGTGGCGACCATAGTCAAAAGCTAATGCTCATAATAATGCTCAATTCAAAGGAAAGCATGAATCTCATTGCAGATACCTATCCGGGGTGAAATCTATAAAATTTATTTAAAAATATATCTGTATATCAAGACAGAAACTAAGTATTGTGACTGAAAGATAAATCCATATCACAAAATAAAGTGATATAAAATGTGTTAAAAGAGCAATATTATATTCTGACTCAAATATTAATAATTTTTCCCTTAGCGATAAAAACTGTATGCGATATTTGCTTAATAATTAGTCACGCTGCTTCATTGTACATAATACATTGTATACATATACTTCACAGGTACAAATACCTAATAGACAATGAGAACAGTATCAACAGATGAACGAATTTATTTTTATAAACTTGGATACTTAGGTTTAATTAAAATGTACATACTATAGGAATATATTTTTTATAATGTATAAAAGTGGATTTGGACTAAGTCAAATAATTTATTAGTCTCTACTTTTCCTACTTCTGACTTGCACTATTCCATTTATTTGCGTTTTTAATTGAAACTTCCAAAAATTGTCTCTGCGCAGTTTGGAAACCAAATACTAATAAATTACATACACGCAACTATAGCCTACTTTAAGAAATGACCTTTTAAATAATAAAAGAATATTTTTAATCTGACTAATGGTTCCAGAGATCAGCGCGTCCAAAATATAAATATGGTTTGCCTTACTATGGCGCTCACTATTTTAATAACCCCGTGATGGATTTAATACAAACTTTTTAAAAATCGAAACTAATTCCGGTCATGTGACTATAAACTTGTCTATGTTTGTAGTAATGCTTTAATTTGGGGGTAGCTCAAATTAATCAATAAAATTATTCTTAATAAACCTTACCCGTGATCTAAATAAATAAGACTAAATCCACTTTAAAACTCGTACTCAAAAAATGATGTTTCTTTTAAAAAATAAGTATTCTTGTAAATATTCTTTTAAACTAAGCACTAATATTAAACTCGTAGATAATATACTCTTATTTGGAGTTCAAACAATTATAGAAAAGGCTAGTGTGTATGATATTGGTGCTAATTTATATTAAAAACATACTATAATTATATAAATTTTAGTATAATAAAATATATATTACTTGTAATAAATTATTTTTTATTTTCTCTGCTAACTTTCCTGGAAAAATAGTAACTAATACCCAGTCAAGTGTGAGTTTATTCACAAACGGAGATAAGGTTTCCATATTTAAAATAATCTATGAGAACGCTAATAAAGTCAGGTCTATTAGCCTGTCGTGACGAATATCAGAGGGAGACTTTGTACAAAAGTCAATTGCTTGGGTACCTCTGTCCCATTCGTATTTCAACCGTGAAGCAGTTGTGTTTACATGGCTGTTTCGGTTTGAAGGGTGGGATATGGCGTGAATTTACTGGGTACAGAAGAACAACACCCGAGTCCTCAGGAATGGCAATGCATGGGGGGTATCATGGGCGAAACAGTATACTCTGTTATGTCCATGGTATTGCTCATGTCTATAGGCGACGGTTACCACTTTACATCAGGTGGGCTGTCAGCTTGTTTGCCATTTTAAGTTGTATAAAAAAAAAACAAAAAGAATTAAATTACAAAGGTCTTTAGGGGGATGAAGGTCAGCCTAACGGTATATTTGTAGCATTAGAGCAGATAGTTCCCATTGCTGATAATGTAAATACAAATAAAAGGAAACCGAATAACTAATAAGGTGGTTATGACTGTAATTTGTGTGTAACAGTCGGAATGACAATTAATTTGTTATTTTTTATCAAAACCCTAAAATCTTCGGTATCTAATTTGATATTCAAACAGCACATTTCGAACTACCAGCGTTATAGAGAGATATGATGAACATTCTACGTTTTCTAATATCTTGTTTATAAAAATAAAAGTGAGCAATAATTCAGATCGTTTATTTTTATTACCAATTTAAGATTGTCGAAAATTACAAAGATTATAATTTACTAGAGATTATTATACAACTCCACAACATGATTGGATTTATTGTTTATATAATTGAAACTATGTTTTATATTTATACATAATTTTTAAATATAATGAGCTACGTTTATTGTTTTACAATTGTTCAACATTCCAAAAACTTATCACAATTTAATATTTTTACTAAGTACATCTAACTAACGTTTTATATTGTCCATACCTACAGTAAAGGATACTTGGAACCAACATTAGATGTTGTTTGTTTTTTTTTTTAATTAGACCTTAGACCTAATATGGCAACATAGAATTCTCAATACAAAGAAATTTGATGTTTAGATGCCCGATTTATTCTAGTACATGCTCAAAACCCTTGTACATGTACACACACGAAACGACAGGCAGTTTGCGATGCGAGAAAGTACCGACTTTGAAAAGGGGCCGTGGAGAATTTACGGTACTCGCGGGAACTCTGCGTCCCAAAAAGGGCGCCATAGAAACAGGCATCATTAGTAAAGTCACTATTGAATTATCATGTTCAACATTACTATTTTAAATAGCAGGGCCGATGACCTTTTTCATCGACGAGGGGCGAGGAAGGTGACAGTGAAAAATTAGCCCTAAAGCGGTATTTGCCCGGCTGGTTAAAACAATAGAATAGTGGTCAGATACAACAGTTTGATAAAAAGCTTGCCCATTGGTAAATGTGACTTACATTCAATTTTGCAACTCTATCAATCTATGTTGACCTTAACAACAATAAGACGCTAGAGCCCGTGAGTATAAGTGACGAGAGAAAATAACAAAACAGAACCAGTTCCAAAGGCGGTACTCAAGAAAATGCTTTAAGCATAGTTCGTATTGCTTTAATGATAGACAGAGGCGAGTATTATAGTAAAAAAATAATCTACTATAATTTTATTTAACTTTTGACGTACCTACTCGCCATTCGGCTAAATCGCTAAAACAGTCTCTATATAATAGCAAATAGGGGAATTTTATTCTTAGATATTCCATATAGATTAAATTCCCTACTACTCTTGCTGGGGACTTACCACGAATTCGTATATTATAAATTTAAGATGATTACACTCTAGAACATACAAGCAAATACTACGTTATTTAGAGTCGGCACTGGCCTTGTATTGACATTTTTTTTTAATTATACAACCATCTAGAGATATCAACACAATAAAATTAATATTTTTTAAAGTTACACAAATATTTGTAATATGTAAATGAGTAGAGTCCAAAGTATCGATAGATAATATCACAAAAATCTGCTTTATACCGTAAAATTTTTAAAGTAAACAAAGTGGTTGCATAGATATCGTGCTTGTTCGGAGTGACGCGGGCGTAGTGTCGTGTGCGGGATATACCGCAGGGTACGCTCAGGGACGGTGAAGGTCGAGGAAGTGGTGCAGGGTGAGGGGCAGGGCGGCGGGCGGCAGCGGCACATTGGCGGCAAGCAGGGCGCGCGCGGCTAAACAGGCGAGCGACACGTAGCGTAGCACGCGGACCCGCGAGCCGCGATTCAGAGCCACCAGCTCAGCGGGTGAATCGCCGAACTTGTTCGGCTGGTCCAGGTGCGCGCCGCCGCGTAGTAGCACCTCCACCAGCTGCCGGATACACGCCATATAATCATTATCCTTTGTTTCATCAAAATACAAATCATAAAAGACATGTTTTAGGAATTTATTTATATAATATATATAATATTTTTAATATATATTTCTTTTTTCTTTTGTAACACATAGGCAAACGAGCATGCGGCTCAACTAATGATAAGTGACTACCGCCGCCCATGATAACTCGCAATGCCAGAGGCATTGTAGGTGTGTTACCAAACATTCTTGGCACAAACTTGAGAAATAGGATATTTTTTATCCCTATTAGAAAAAGTTTATCTGGTAAATGTCGATAGAGAGAAAACCGTTTGCCGATTCAACTCGTGAATTCATATTTTTTGAAAATTAATAGACAATGCAAATATTGTCGAACATTATTTTTAAAAATATTGAGTAAATAGGAAAATCCTATTTTAATACAAATTATTGGGTAATTAAAAAAATCTCGAAGTGAGCGAGATGTGAACCTGAAATCAACAACCGCATGGCACCTATGAGGAGACGCATAACAGTATGAGATTTATAACATTCTTCTTTATAGTAACGATTTCGTGTAAAGTACCTCGGTGGAGAAATTATAAGGTATAGCAGCTACGTGCAACGGAGTTGACCGCGCCTCGTTACGCGTCCGGACGTCCGCACCACAGCTAAGCAGCAGCGACACAACCTCTACACTCGGGAACATAGGCTGCGGACATGTATATAACGCTTTTAATTATATATTTCTCGAAATTAATAATTTGTATTAATATGTTCTGCACCAAACTATATAGTTTTTTGACAAATGAAGCACTCCTAAATTACTAAAATTAAATAGAACATACAGATTAGATACATTCACCAAAGGGAGACTGTACAAAAGTCGTTTCTAGGTTACCTCTGTCCCATTCGTGTTTCAGCCGTGAAACAGTTGTGTTTGCATGGCTGTTTCGGTTTAAAGTATGAGATATGGCGTGAATTTAGAGGGTACAGAGGAATAACACCTGAATCCTCCGGAATCCCAACGCATGGCGAAACAGTATACTCTATTATGTCCATGGTACTGCTCATGTCTATAGGCAACGGCCTATAGACATGAGCAGTACCTACCACTTTTCATCAAGTGGACTGTCAGCTTGTTTGCCATTCTAAGTTGTATAAAAAAAGTCTGGTGTCAAGTACAAATGATAAGGTATAATAAATAAACGTGTAAAGGCCGTAATGTTGAACACCAACCGGCACAGAGAGCTCGTCCGCGAAGTAAGTGGAGCGGATGACATTGAGCCGCGACACGCAGAGGTGCAGCAGCGTGTCGCCGGTGTGCGCGCTCCGCACGTCGGCCCGCACGAGCCCCGCGACCGCGGCCCGCAGCGCCGCCTGCTGTTCCGGCGAGCCGTCCGCTGTGCTCAGCAGCAGCGCCACCAGGTGCGTGGCGCAGCGCAACGCTCGGTCGAACGACTCCGCCTGCTTCTTGTACACCGGCCGCACAGACAGCGCCGCGCGGCACCCTGCCCACCGATCACATTAATAATGATACATATACAGCGTGAAATTTAACTGGTTGATTATCCGCAGCGAAAAGATTTGATCTCGATGGTACAATCGATTCGTAAACCCTTTTTTTTTTTTTTTTTTTTCCTAAAAGTCAAATAATGGCAGATTTATAATTTTTAAAAATGAAACTCGAAATCGACAAGAAACATTAGTAATCTCTATGAATGAAACTAAAAATAAAAATGAAACTTCGCGGCGCGCGGGCGCCGCTTAGCTGACGAAGTTTTTGTTGTCTATCGACCACTGACAGAAAACCATTTTAGCCGACGCATCGTTTCCGTGAAGGGCATAAACTTTTCTAAAATGATAAGGATGCAGTCCCAGAAGTTGCACCATGGCAACATATTCTAAATTGGTGTAGTTGTAGTGTCGATCCATTTTGCGTGCACGTTAATTACGCGATGCGCGTACGGCACTTCCGGGTTCGCGGGACAACTGACAGGGTGGGGTGGGCGAGCGAATGTCGGGTGGAGCGGGTGAGCGAATGTCGGGCAGGGCGGGCGGCGCAGAGGGTACGCGTGACCCGAACACTACACGAGCACGACACGACCCGACACGACGGTCGACATGCGGTCAAAAGGTACCTACGTCGTACGCGTTAGAGCTTATTTTGCTTTATCAATTTGATTTCACACGACACAACATCGGTACTTTGTGTTTATGAATGAAATACGCGCATAGTAATACGTTACGTCTAATGAGTTACTAATTGTTTCTCACGCTTTCGAGTTGGAGAATTATTTTTTTGATTATTCGAAAAAAAAAACATGTTATTTTTAAAACTTTACTTTTGGAATCGATAGTACTACTGAGACCAAACCTTTTCGCTGCGGATAATCAACCAGTTAAATTTCATGTTGTATGTAATTAGGTAGATAACCTGTTTACCGGTGATGGTTTACATTAAGGCTAACACCGTATTTAGCGGGGGGAAAGGATTGTTAGTAATGGGGAGGTTAGTCTCATTGCTATTAATATACCTTATCAGGTCGACCTCCACACGATTTCCCCTGAAAACTATCATGCCTAATTTATCGTTAAATTCGTCACGATGGGCTAACTGACCTACCTTTTTACCTTCACCAATCATACCTCACTGGTGCCCCGTCAGTATATACCGATAGTGCAGGCGGGGTTACCATTCCATTATCATCCATAAAAAAAACACACACACACACCGTATTTAGCGTATCTTCAGTCGCATGAATACCCCTGAACACCAGCAGATAAGCGATCGTTTGCCGAGTTCCGTTGACACAGCGCGCAGTGTAGCCGACCTCAAATTGTATGATGTATTAGCGTTCCGTCGTGGATAATCAGCTTCCAAAGACAGACTAAATATGACACTATCTTAAGAGAAAACGATAAAAATACATACGCGGCAGATCTTGTGCGACGAGACGGAAGACACGCATTACGTCGCGGTGGCGAGGCAGGTCGCGACCACGCTCCAGACGGCCGGCGCGCGCGTCCAGCATCAGCCGCGTCAGCGCGCACGCCGTGTGGCACGTGTCTGTCACACCACACCACATATAGTTAAACATCTTATACAATAACAGTACATTTAGTGACATCAAACATCTAAATGTAGGTCTAGAGTCTAGAGCATCTTTCAATTTATCAAAAACAAAAAGCTCACCAGCATATAAAAGTGAATCTTTCTCGATGCGTATTTGAAGCGCCCAACTCCAGAGGTCGATGCAACGCTGGTAACGGAACGCGTCACCATACGAAGCGCCCCTGTACATATGGATTGATTTATTCAAGACCACACAGCTTATTCACCCTCCCCACGGAAATCTTGTGGGTCGCAAGGGAGAAGTCAGGAAGAAAATAAAGACTCACCGATACATGAGGCGTAGCACGGTGTCTTTGTGATCTGGCCCGAGAACACGGGCGGCCACCAGTAGCGCCTGTGTTCTCAGCGCATCCATGTCAGTAGCGGCAACTTCCAGTTCATCCATGGTGCGCCACTCGCGCGCGCCCCCTAACGCGGGGTGCGGAGGCCACTGTGGCCGTTTCTCGATGTAGGTTCCACACGAATGGCGGATAGTGGTAGCGCGGCGCCACGCGGCCAACGCAGCACTTACGTCATTAAACTCGTCCAGCTGTGTGGCTCCTAGCAGCTCGTAAGCGTCTGCTAGCCGGTCGGGTGGATACGGCACGCGAGAGCCCAGCAGGGTCACGATTTGGGCGGCGCCCTTGAGGCAAGCGGTGCGAAGAGCGTCATCGCCTGCCCGAGACGCCAGCCTCGGGTCAGCGCCGTGGTCGAGCAGCAGCCGCGCTGTCTCGACACGATGTTCCTGAATCGCGTAGTGCAGCGCCGTCTTCAACTGCATATCCTGCGCGTCCACCTGCGATGAGGGCGCTTCTGTAGAGCGGCTCTCGCGTGAAACGAAGGACACGCCGCGGGGCTACTCACCTCAGCACCGTGTTCGAGCAGGTAAGTGCAGAGGCGCACCGACTGCACAGAGTTGATTAGGCACGTCCCACCGTTGTGGTTGGGTCGATGGATATCGGCGCCGCGCTGCACAAGGAAACGCACCACATCCAAGTGCGTCATAAAACAAGCGGAGCGCACCGGCGTGGAGCCGCTGTCGGAGCCCGCATTAACATCAGCTCCAGCATCAGCCAACACTCGGAGCACCTCTAGCCGGCCCGCGACAGCGGCGCACCAGAGCGGCGTCACAGTGTGTACGGAGCGGTCATCAGGCACCTCGTACACTCCACGCTGCTCCAACTCGGCAGCACATACATGCACCAAGTACTCCACCAACTCTACGTTGCCACGCTTACACGCGACAAACAGCGGTGCGCATCCATCGCGGGTTCGTCTCACAACCGCGCGACGCTCCTCTGGACACATCCTAACATACAAAACATGTAAATGCATGAGGAAACAAAAGCAACTTTAATGACTATATTATCTGTATGTCTATCTCTAAAGGTATATCAAACTTGAATTTGCAAACCTCTCCTTATAATTTAAATCAACTGATTGGTAATTGAAACTTTACATACATAATTCTTACTATTACTACTATTATTACATTATTCTACATAATTCTTCTGATTATCTTGAATTCTGTAAATAACACCACTTTCTCCCTCTCGAAAAGTGCAGAAATATCGCTGATATTGCATATCTGATGAAGATAGCTTCTGCTGAGGTTGATTGCCCTGAACTACTACAAAAATTAAAACTAAATGTAACAATTAAGTCTAGAAGGCATAATTCTACTCTATTTATCCCACTTGTGTCATCGAATTATATACAAAATTCATTCCTTTGGCGAGCTAGCAACAACTTTAATACTATTTCTAAAAGTCTTAATATAGATCTATTTTCGAAAAATATAATATCAGTGAGAGACCAACTGAGTAGGCAATTTTTTTATTCATAGTCAATTTGAATAACTATTGTATGGATAAGTAGGCCATATTTTAATCAAATATTTGCAATTTTTACTTTGTATTTTATTCATCATTTTTTTTTTTTTGTTTTTGTTCCTCTTGTTTGTTTTTTTTTTTTTGTTAAGTCCTATTTTTGTTGCTTTGTGTAAAGCACCTTGTATCTATATTGTTGCTACTTATGAAAATCTATTAGTGACTTATTTTGTGATCCTAAACTGTATCTTTTGCTCTAGTGTAGCCCTGGATTACCTATGAATAAATAAATAAATAAAATAATGATGTAAGGGTCTGTTTCTGCACCTTTTCCAAATAAACTGTTTAATAGGTACAGTAGAAGCATACAAATTTTTACAAACAACTGATTTGTAAAAGAGCATAGACTATGTTCATAGGCAAGCATAAATGTCACCATAGTTATAGTGACATTTATGCCTGCCAGGGGTCTATGATCTCTCTTCAAGATCTCATATAGTACTGAGTAATTTCACATAAAATATTATTATAAAAACAATTGCCTGTCAATGAAATTTGTTTAATTAAATAATAATGACCTTAACATCAAAGAATTTTTAAAACTAATTTGGTAAAGAGCTAAAATATTAGAACTACAAATCTGCAAGAATGATTAAGTGAAATTACAGGATATGGAAGCACATTTTAGTTGTCAAAAATAATAGTGCATGAAGGGTACCATCAACAGTGTATTATGCAATTTCTGTAGTGCTGTTCTTGTCTATTGTCAATGGTTATCACATTCAATCAGATGGGCTATCAGCTTGTTTACTACTGTAAGTATAATAAATAAATGAAAAATCATATTACAATACAATTGGTATAACTCAACTAAAAGTATACTAAAGTTATAAAATTACCAATAAAAATGTATCTCAACAATAATCCTAAAAGTATTTTTATTTAATCATAAACATAATAAAAAATTGTTTTTTGTATGTAAAATAATCATATACTTTATTATTTATAAAATTTGGATTCATGAATTTTTCATTTTGTTAATAAATACAATAAGATCAAAATATGTCAGTGGGTAGTTGAAAACCCAACTATACTTACTGATATTATAAAAGAAAAAGTGAGTTTGTTTGTTACCTTATAACACCTTAATGGCTTAACCAATCACTATGAAATTTGGTATACACATATGGGATAGAAAAGAATAGGCTACTTTTTATCCCAGTCAGTAAAAATATCCCAGTCACAGGTTAAACTTAGTATGTGTTAACTAAGAATACATCCCATGCTATGTATTTTTATAAATTTTAATATTTGTATACAAGCTGTACAATACCATATAAACTTGGATGAAAGTAATCCTATTGTTAATCCAAAATATCATCTTTAATATAGAAAATTTCAATGAAATTGGTTTACTCACTGAAAAATAATAAAAATCCTACCTTTCAAGAGAGGTCCTCAGGCGAGCGGAAAGTCGCGCGCCGGGTGCACTGTGCTTGCATTCCCTCATCAATTCGTTGAATACTGCATCATGATGCTTTGTGTTTTCATTTAGTAATTTAATATTTGCAGTGCTCGCCGCGCTTGCATTACAATCCTCCCACATATTGCTCACCCGTGCCTTTAGCTTGCTGCTAACGAATATACTCAGTGACGGGTGTCACACAGATTTCACTGGCAATTCAATTTACAAATTCACTGATATTCTCAAGATTCAATCAAAATAGCTCAAAGCATATAAATCACTATATAATACTAGCTGGCCACATAAACTCTTCATCTTTCATGAACAATACATAAAATAATAATTTCAGTTTAAATGCAAAATAAAAACAAATAATGGATATAAAATACAAGAATGCGCAATATCAACAAACAGGACTTATTTATAAAAAAGATTGACCCATCGTAATCAAACAAATACTTGTAATAAAATTGTACTAAAGGAAACAAAGAAATCACAATTGTATTTAGTATTTTCTTAAAAATTACAAATTTTTAATAGGTACGTAGGTACCTACTTAATAGGTAAGATGTATAATAAACTGACATTTGTTTGACATTGACACTAAACCATCAAACGGAGTGAAAAATGTCAACTTGTCAAAAATCAAAATTAAAACCAAACTAAATATTTCAATTTTGTATTTATTTAATTATATTTATTCTATATTTGACTAATCTTTTTTATATAATCAATGTTATTTTTTGGTAATTTGTAGTATTATTTATATATTTCCCTATTTAATTAGCTTATTTTGTACTTGTTATTTCATTTTTCAGTCAATATGATTTCCACAAAAATATATTCAAATTTTGAATTAAGTTCCAGTCGTATTTAATAAATTTTGATTTACTTACGTACTGACTTCATTTTATTCTTATTTACAGCAGAGATCTATGTTTTAATATGAAAGCTAAATCACTGGTATTTTAACTGACTTAACTACCTTATACTTTCTTTTCCGTTGTACCCTTGTTAACAAATTATTGGATTACCCACTATATTACATAGTGTATAAGCAATAAACCTATACTCATAGTGATGGATGACGATGATGATTATGACGATGAACTTCCCACAATAATAGTGAATGCATCACATCAAAATGAGGTACATTTATTTTTTATTTAATGTAAAAATACACATTCAAAATTAATATACAATATATAATAATAAATAATTTTTATTCAACTAATCTTTATAATAAACATTTTTAATAATCTTTATTTTTTATTCATGTACTGCCCAATTCAGAATGCAATTTCAACCGAGAAGAATGGGCAAGATAAAAAGCTTGTGCTTTTTTTTAATAAATTTAAATTAAAAAATATAAATGGATACCATGACAATCACAAACGTCATATTGATAAAAAAGCAACAATTAATCACAGTATTCTTGAACTAACCAGTTCCTACTAGAAACACCCATTCACGAGTCATCCTTTGTTGTGTTTAACCATATTGTAAACAGGATGTAGAATAAGTAATATATTTTAGTACACATTTCTTTATATAAACTGTCTAAGTATTTGAAGATTAGGGTATGATGGGGTTAACATATCCTTATAGGATAAAAGCCTCTAAATAAAAATGATAAAAAAATCTTTCAATAGTACAATAATTTTGTTTATTTGTGTTCCACATGTAACAGTTTTTGCACTTTGCAATACACAACATGAATAAGTGGTATGGGGGCATACCCTTCTCAGAATTGGTTAATATCCACTTCAGGATCCGAGAAGAGCTTCTAGTTTTGCACAAAGACATATCTAGGTTTGAATGGCATACATCTTTTTAATGGACCATTCTCTAGAAAAACAAACTTAAATATACCTATAATGGTACTTGCACTATAATTTTTACCAAATAACTCTTCACTGGATGAAATTCTGATCTATATTTTCATATTATGAAGAAGTAAACTTATCAACATCAAGAGACTTGTCCATTTTAATAAAATTTTATGATTTTTTGGAATACAAAGGGTTTATTGTTGTAGTAGTTATGGTTATAAAAATTAAATTAGATACATATCCTATACTAAAATCTTATTCAACATATTTGCATTTAGTCGACCAGTTTTTTGGAAGTATGATTAACAAACACCTAAACATCTTTACAAACTTTCATAATATTAGTAGGCTTTTAATTTGAGCCTTAAACCTGTAATATTTTAAACATTACAATATACCTTGTATATTTCATATTTACTAAATTAAAAAAAAAATTGTTAAAATTGATAAAATTGTTCAATTTCTATATACTTATAATAATAATAATATCTTATGTCACCTTTGAGTTTTAAGTCCAATTCTAAGCAATTTTGCAATTTTATTACAGGACCAATTTATAATGCCCTCTGCAGAAGTATTGGCTTCAGAACGTGCTCGCGAGGAGGAATGCGAGCGTGAAATAGAACAGTTACGATGCGAGCATGAGGCGGCCGCTCGACTCGCACACAGCGATTCAAGTAGCTCCGAAAGCGAAGTACTCTCCGCTGCTGTGGACGCACTGCGAGTTCAAGCTGCACAGCCGCCTGGTCTCACCCGTCCCTGCCCCGCCCGTCTCCTTGCCGACTTACTCCGACACATGCGGCCCGAACACACGCTGTTTATCCGCGACTACCTCGAAATGATTCAACAAGCAGACCCGAATATCATCGATGATATCACATACGATGTAATTATAAATTAAGACATGGAGAATAATGATCAATAAAAAATTATAGATTTCTAATACAATTTTGAATGGTTGATAAGCTAATAATACATCTTGAACCGAAAAGGTAACTTCGCATATAGATATAATCAACATGATGAACATGACAGAATACACATGTGTCGTCATCTCCGAGAAATACAATTAGGATGTTACACCTCAGTATGTAATAATTTCTATATATAGATTAAAGGGATTGTTATAATGGGGGCTAGCGGTCCCATTGCTTGTAATACATTCTGTCAGCTTGACCACCACGCGGTTTTCGCTGAAAACCAACGTGGTTAGTTCTTTATGTATTCATTATGATGGGTCTACTGACCTACTTTCATCCTAAAAGTAATGATGGGGTTACCATACCATTATCATACATTAAAAAAAGCCTTCAAAGTACGATTTAGTTACAGCAGCTAGGTAACTACTTAGTGGCAATAGTAGTACTACAATGGTATCCTGACAAATTCATTTATACATACATAAATAAGCCTCCCTCTGGATGAACGATAATAACAATGTGTTGGTAATAAATTCAGAAGATGGTCCTTCAATATTTCCTTGTTTCTACTCGATTATTTGGAGCTATCGAAAAAATGTTGTCTTCTACTAATCCCTGTTATGCGTTATTCGTGATGTTACTATTTAATACACAATTATAACTATTTATGCAGAAACGAAATCAGATCTGCCTTCTCTTATTAATATCCCAGATAATGTGGCTGTATTTTGCACTTAATAGAACGTCCTTTCGTAATCTAAATTATTTATTATTTTGCTTAGACACTTAAAATAAAAAAATAAATAAACAGGTAACGTCGAGCATTCTGTGGTCGTTGAGCACAGCAGGGACTGAGAAAGGGATGTGGGGTGAGGCGGAGACACTAGGTGTAGGGTCGTGGTTGTGCGCGGCGTGCGTATGGGGCGCTAACCCGCACGCGCCGCCGCCGGGGCTGCAGCCGCCGCACACGCCGCGGGGAACACGCGCACGGATTCGCCGAGCGCTTCACTGTCTCTTAGATGTCGCTGATACTCAACACGTAAGCTAATTTACAACTAAGATCCTTAAATGTGCATGTAATTCAATCCAAATTTTTAATGATACAGATAGAAAAAAAACAGCGTATAATGCCTCTTTCCCACATTATACTTCTATATATTTTACAACTTATTTCATGCACACACACTGATTCCAATGTAAGGTGGAACGTTCAGCCTTCAACCTTACACTGGAATCGGCGTGTGAAACACATGAATTGTGTTGTAACACTCATTTATATATAAGGAATTCTGTTTATATGGTTCATTTTAAGGCTATCTTACACTACACCAAGCATACCCTCTTCAGCAAATAACATACATATACAGTAGTGGTAGTTTTCGATATAATAAACTAAATACCAAATGCGCTCTGCTACATTTTGGTACATCATGTATTGTGTGCAACGCTCCTATTTATTCTACATTTATTCAGATCCGTAAAACTAACCCAATACTTGTTCTAGAGCATATCAGCTCGTATATCATATTTGAATCTTAGATACAGAATAAAATAAAAGGTTTTATTTAATAATTGATTTACAAACATCGGAAGAGTTTACTATATCATACACCTTTAGTATTTTACATGTGAGTTGACTATCCTTGGTTATACTAGTGCACATAGAATATGCCACTCTTTCCCGTGGATGTCGTAAAAGGCGACTAAGGTAACTTAATGGTAGAGAGATTAGCAACAAACCCCCCTTACGCGGAGACCTATTTTCAACGGTGGACAGTTAACGGCTGATATAATGATGAGTGCACATATTCTCAAAAATAGAGCTTCGAAATATTGACTGTATCAATTTACAAACCCTCCACATAGCACAGCGATCGTTTGGATATAATGTAGGTACGTCAGCGTGCAGCTAATTTACTCCTGGATGAGGTCTAAAACAACTACTAAAACTACTATACGAGTATACTATCTAATAAGGTACGAAAGCTCGCGCACGTAATGGAGTGCACGTTGACGGAGCCGCTGATGAGGCTGGAGCTGGCGGAGGCGGCGGGCGGGGCGGGGGGCACGTTCGCCGCACAGCTTCTACACGCCGCATTACGAGATCTGCTCGCACCCACCGCTAAGGTAACTTCCTTTATACCGATTAAAAAAAAAGGAAGTTCTCTTTTTTAAGAGACTTCCAAAAAAAGGAGTTATCAATTTATTTGTATATTTTGTTACGTGATTACATCGCAAACACTGAACCGATTTTAATAAGTCTTTTTGCAGTTGATAAAGTTTACCTTGTATTGGTCCCTTAGTACATACTTTTATTTATTTAATCAAATTAAAGTTGCCGTTTTTATTTTGGGACTAAAAACCTACCTACTTGCACTTTCTAGTGTATCGACGTATAAACTCTATTATGTTTCATCAGTGTGTTTTGTAACGATTTCAGGTTTTTTTTTTTTGCTTAGAAAAGTGTACTATTTCGTGTTTAATGATTCAAAACTCCCATTACACAAAACTTGTTGTAGACTTGTTGATGCAATTCTATCTGTTGATGGATAGAAAAGGACGTCGAGGATCGTTCTTAATCTATACCGACCATTAGCTCAATTTTTTGATATTGAAATGTGTTGAATTTTTTTTTTAGGAAAATTCACAAGCGTCTGCTATATCGCCGTCGGAACTGGCGGAGCTAGTGCGCATGCGATGGCGGTCACTGTCTGCGGACGAGCGTCACGCTGTCGTACAGCTGACGGGCCGCTCCCTACTGCATCCACTCGCTTCCGGTGCCCTCGACTCTACCACCACCCGCCATCTGCTGGCAGAGATAACGCAGCCCGGATCCGTGCCGCTCGCGGATAGACACCGCCCGGATCATCTAAAGGTGAAAAACCCTCCCCCCCCCCCCCCTGCCGGAGCGGAAAGGGAAATATTAGTAATAAGGTATAATTTCCCCATTAATAGCAATACAGCCTGTATTGCTATTAATATCAGGTCGACTTCCACGTGATTCCCCCTGGAAACTATGGTGGTTATTTTCGTCACGATGGGCTAACGGACCTGCTTTCGTCGTCGCCTATCACTCCGCATTGGGGCATCAATGATAGCCACCGTATATTGATAGTGCAGATAGGGTTACTATTTCAATATCACCTATTTAAAAAAAACCTAATCCAAAATTAACCAAAAAAAAAAAATTCTAATGTATCTACTGTCTAAAATATCTATCTAAAAAAGCTCCATTTATATTGGGAACTGTTAATTTTACACTGCGACAAAGGTCCAATTTATATGTAATATATCCGTAAACATTACTCTTCTTTCTTAGACAATTAGATAAGATACATTATATATTGTCATTATTATTATTTTTTACAGGTCCTTGTTGCTGCTTCAAAACTACAATTACTGTTTCGTGATAAAAGACAAGATTAACTAAAAAAATCACTGTCTTTTATTTTACACTTACAAATAGATACAAAGTTTAGAGATTCTTTTATAAAATATTAATTAAAAAAATATTTTTACATATAACAAATATGCACAAAATTAGCCTTATTCTTTCAATATCACATTGTTTGTAGAAAAGCCTATGTGGGGACGATGTCTCCAATATAATGCACAATATGGTAATGAATAGGTTGTCTATGCGTACGCGAGATTCTTTCCAAAGCGAGACAACATCAGCGTCAGTGTGGCACCGCACAGTCTGCGATGGTACCAGCCGCGCGACTCCCATCTGAAACCACATATATAATTATACTTAGGTATAAATAGTAAATACCCCTAGATATATTACACAGCGCCATCTAGTCTCAGACTAAGTAAATTTTATACTATTGGTACTAGACAACTAATAGACGAATACTTTTGATTTTCCCATTTTTGAAATCGCCTAAATGAATACAAACAAACGTAGATATTCATGAATACAAATGTTTGTGTGGGAATCGGACCCGTGACTCTGCTATTCATACTAGAGCCATCTTTATAAAATTTTGGTATAAATATCATGTTTTATTGTGTATAGACGTTATTCGTCTATTTACAATAATAAAATATGTACTCCTTTATTCATAAAAACTAAAACCTACAAACCTTTTGTAAATATAGTTTTGTGACTTTTTTTTATACAACTTAAAATGGCAAACGAGCTGACGGCCCGCCTAATGGAAAGTGGAAACCGTCGCCTATAGACACTCATTCAAATTAGAAATTTAACACCAAACAAAGAAACAATAATGTTCTAAAATGGGTTTATGAGAGCTTTGACACTATTATGAATAAAAAGGATAGTCTAGTACCGGCCAACTGCAAAGCACATAGCACACTTACCCGGCAGAACGTAGTAAAGCAAGTGCGGCCGGCTGCAACTCACTGGCGATAGCTTCGAGCGACTCGAGGCCCTCCGTTTCAGCATACGCACGACTCGCCTGCACTAGTGCACGCCCCACGCCGCGCCGCCACCATCTGGATTTATTTATACAATGACAGTAATAACTATTACTTGCGGTTTTCCCCACATACATAATAGTATAATAACATTCTTCTTCAATCTAACACGAATATTAGACACATTTTTTATGGATAACAATGAAATTGTATCCGCTCTTGCACTATTGGTATACCTTTATAAGGCACCAGTGAAAGATGCATGCAGATGCAGGTGAGGATGTAATCGTATCAGTTGGCTCATCATTACGAATTTATCAAAAAATATCCACATATCTAAGGAGGACCGCGTGACAGTCGATTTCTTGCAATTTACTCCGCCACTAACATTCCCTTCTCCTTTAATATAAATCCTATCCTATCTACACTTGCTACTTTTAAATTCATTCTAAATGTCACTAAACATATTAATTAGAAACTTCATGCTTCTGGAGTATTTTTTGACATGAGCAATTTTGTTAATCATAAAATCTTGATAGACAAATATGAAAAGTATGGTATCAGAGGCAAGGCATTACAATGGATCGAGAGTTATCTCAGCAATCGTTGGCAGTCCGTTCAAATAGACAGAATTGAAGATAGTAATAGGATCTTCGCTTCATTTAAATCCGAATATAAGTTAAAGCAATATGAGGTACCACAGGGCAGTATTTTAGGTCCTCTTTTAAGTCTTCTTTACATACATGATATACCAAATATTACGAAACATCAGTACATTCTATTCGCTAACGATATCTCAGTAATTGTTCCCGACAATAAAACCTGCAACTATAATCGTAAACTTCAATAAATTGTAGATTTATTAATGAATTGACCTAATGGGAATAATCTGATTGTAAATATATAAAAAAGAATAAAATAATACAATGTTACTTTACATTACTTGTGACAATGAAAAAATAAAGTTATAAATGAAATTAATTTTTATGGAATTCAATTACACCAACATTGTAATTGGAAATCGCACATAAATAATATAAATACAAAACTAAATAGATTCGTATATGCTCTAAGAATGCTTCATAAATCAACAGATGAAAAAAAAAGCTATTATAGCCTAATATGGATATGTTGCATCTGTATCGATCCCCTAATGCCAGTAGGTCAGTTGGTTCATCCACTTCAGTCCATTATAACAAATTCACCAGAAAGTACTGTTTATTAAGCATGTTAGAAGCTCACCTGCCATTTTTAATAAATGTGCAATAGTGACTCTGTCTGTGCTACCGATATGCACTAGCAGGGCATCAGTGAAATATGATAGGTGAGGATGAAGCAGACCAGTTGGCCCATCGTAACAATAATTAACCACAAAGGATTCCAGGTGGTACCGTGTGTATGGAGTTTCCATTACTAACAATCCCTTTCTCCCCTGTCAGAATATATTGCTAGCAATGAAGCCGCTATTATTGGTATACAGGTACAATAAGTTTTATTTTATTTTAATATTACACCTGGAATCAAGTTATAAAAAATAAAAAACTTACTTGGGATGGACAGCGAGGGCGTGAAGCCAGCCCCTGTGTCCGTCGCCCCAGTACTCTGACAACGAGACTGTGCCCACGATCTGCACACAACCTTTAAATTACACTTCTTTATAGTTTGTTTCAATAAAATTAATGAAAATGTAAACAAAGGAATAAATGATCTGGTCATGATCTTATGGTATCAAAATTAGTTATCAGCAGTTTAGTCTAATTATAGTACCATCATAATATTTACTACAATATACCAAAAAAAGAATTAAACCTGACCTGTGTATGCACCACCTTATTGAGAGTACTTTGTTGTAACTCTTGCTCAAATACAACAGTAACTGTAAGCTTTTGTGGATCAGCAAAAAGGAGACCTCGCATCTCTGCTACAAAGCCCACCATCTCCTTCCTGATATCCTTTAACATATATATATATATAAGATTAATTTTTCCAGTGTATTTAAAATACTATAAATATGCTACTGGTGAAGTATTATATTATCTGTGACTATGCATATGCATGCAAAGTTAATAAAAAGGTAGAGTAGTTATTATTAATAATAATTTAATTTTAATAATGATTTATAAGTCCTACATTCATAAAACTGTTATAATGGAGACAGTATAAAATTCATCTATTTAATCGGGTATACCACCTACTCTTGCTTCTGTCAGTTTTGCTTGCATTGTTGTATTTCGGTTTAAAGGGTGAGATATTTTACTTCCTCTCGGCCCCCACCCCCAAGTTGTATCTAGAATTCATCATGGACAATAATTGCAAACAACACATCTGCTCATAGCAATTAATTACAAGAGTATGTTTCTCAGAGTATGTTATGATAGTGATCTCATAGCCATGTTTCAGTTCGAAATGTGGGATATGACATCACTGTACCAGATGAAACCCTGCATCTTGAGCACCATACTCACTCTAAAGAAGATTTCCAGATGAAGTAAAAAATATTGTTGGAAATGACAAATATTGTAAGTTTATTACATTACCATTATCTAGTTATATATCAATTCTGAATGTATTCCAAATTTAACACAACTAAAAGTAAAGTTATAAAAGCAATATAATGTTTCAATATATTTATATAAAATTACTTTCTTTATAACATAAAAAGGAGATAGGATAATTAATAAAAAGGTCTACAACAATTTTAAAGTGACAAATTTGAAAAATTCATACAAATAATGCATCTGCATATACCTGTGCATGCTTGGTAGCAAGTCCCTGATGCACAATTTGCACAGCAAGCATAACAATGACCACTGCTGCTGGCACCAACAGACATAATCCACGCAATGATACACCGCAGAAGATGAACAGCACAGCACCACACAGAACCCCTGCCTGCAGCGTCAACTGAAACACCATCACACCTACTCAAGTCAAAGGAGAATCAGGCTGCATTTTATATATTAATTGAACTTCAATATACACTGCCGATCAAAAGTTTGAGACCACCATATAACAAGAAAACAAATAAGAGTCCATATATTTAAAGCTTTATGAATAACAGGTTTTATTTTAATGTTACACACAAGATTAGAAATTCAAACATTACATGAAGTCTTGACGAATACAATGTTCTAAAGAAAACACACAGAAGAGAGTTTAGAGAGATTTTTCAACAAAATGTCCTCCTTTGCATTGTATGACCCATTTTACCAATCTTGGCATAGGAGCAATTAATTTGTTTATAGTTTCTTGTGAGATATTCCCCCAGCTTTCTTCTAATGCATTCCACGCTGTGAAGTAGGACATTTTTCTTACACGTTTGAGTCAAGCTCTTTCCACAAAAGCTCTACAAGGTTGGCTTTGGGGTGGCCATGTCATATTTTTTTTACACTTTTTCCAACTATTTTTTATCTAAATAGCCCCTACATTAATTTTGAACTGTGCTTTGGATCATTATCTTCTTGGAAAATAAATCCTTGATGGATTAACTTTGTTTTGATGGGAATAGCATTTTTCTTCAAAATTACTTTATAATGCTCCTTTTTTTATAATTTCTTTAATTTGCACCAAATTTCCAGTCCCATAGCCTAAGAAACAACCTCAGACCATAACAGATCCGCCACCATGCTTGACAGTCAGGACTACACACTGGCATCATCTTTTCTTCGATGGAATGTCAAACATAAATTCTTCTTTTTGAACCAAATATTTCAAATTTTGATTCGTCACTTCACTGCACTTTTTTAAAATCTTCAAACCAGTCTTGATGGGCTAGAGCCCATTGCAACCGTTTTTTCTTATTCTGCCATTTTAGAAGAGGTTTCCGAACAGCAATGCGATCATACAACTTGGTGTCTCGCAATTGTCTTTGCACTGTAGACACTGACACAGGTTTCTCCCAAGATTTGTTAACTTCAATACGAACTTTTGAGGCTGTTAGATGTCCATTTCACTTACTAGTTACCACAATAAATTTGTTTTCATTAGAAGTCATAGCTCTTGGTCTCCTGTAGCACGAACGATCTTGATTAGTGCCAGTTTGTTTGTACCCTACAATAGTGCAATGAAGATAAGTTTTCGATAATTTAAATTGAGATGCAATCTTATGTTCAAATTTTCCTTCATTATGGATAGCAATGATAGCAGAGATCATTGCTCGCATTTCAATATTAATTTCAAGAACTTTTCCCATTTTAGAAAGGTCTTAATTGTAGGAATCACAAAATTAAACTAACTGCAGATATTTATAGATAACCCTGAAAATACGAGTTTAAATAAACATTAGAAATATTTTAAGAATTTAGAACAATTGCATTGAAAGTTGATGTAAAATAAAAAAAAGTGTCAGTTGGGGTAATGCAGTAGTAAAATTTTTACAATAGATTATCAGATTAACTCCACTCACATTGAAAGATCTGGAAACAATGTTTATTGCCCTTTTTTGGCTTATTATACAAAAGAATAAGCTTTTAGGTAATCTTTATAAACAATAGAATATGCAGAAGTGCAGATTACTTTTTATTACCAATATTTTAGAAACATTTACTAATAATAAAAGTTTTTTATTAGTGGTCTCAATCTTTTGATTGGCAGTGTACCTACAAATGAACTGATGGCCTCCAAATAAAAAATGGAATCAATAAATCAGCATATATATATACTGTGATATCTTTGATGTGTTTATTTATGTGATGTGCTTATGATACCTTTCATATATTAGTGTTATTCTTCTTTATCCTGTAATTTTGATTTTTATCAGATAAGAACAGTAGATATATTGTTCACTTCATATGAGTAACTAATATACATATAAAATACTAGTTGATATTCAATTCTGCCAGATATTTTTATTCCACAAAAGTACTTTTAATTTGCTTTAAAAACTATTTACAAGCATGGAATCTTTTATATATTTAAATAATCTATCATACAGTTGTACTCACTGAAAATGTTTGTTGCTGAATTAAACTGAGTACACTGTATTACTTAATTGATATTAAAATAGTGTCATTCCTAAAACTCAGCTGTTACACCTTTGTACCCTCTAATTTGCCACATCTCTTGCTTCAAACTGAAACACAACTGTGTAAGCATAGCTGATGCTCATCAGAAATATGAGTAGGGCAGAGATATCCAAGCAGATGACTTTTGTACAATAGGGATGATTGTTAGGCACTATTTCTCGAAACCAATCTTCTTATTTTAATTTCGTAATTTAGTGAAATTACTGGTTTATGGTATATTGACTATCATAAACTAAAATTATAATAATTTTGACTTATCCTCCATAAAATTCTCCTACAAACTTATTTCAACTATTGAAATGTTTTGTCTTCTTTTAAATCGAGAATTCAATGCAAAAGAAATAGACGAAACACTTCAATAGACAAATTAGATTTATGAGGTTTCACGGTTTTATTATATTAGAAATTTAATTATTGAATAGTAGTATTGGTCTTTAAAGATTTCGCTGTGATATCAAATTGAAATATTAATTGTAAAGATTTGTTTAACGAGATAGCGCTCTGGGAATCAGCCCCGATGTCTATCTCTTATAAATTATTGTTCAAAGAAAAGTAAAAAATGTAGTTAAACAACCCACTTACTTCTTGGAAAAAGAATGAAAAGAATGCGTCCCGCTGATGTGTAGCACCGGCGCTCTTTAGTAGCTCTGCGCGAGCTTCCCAATCCTCGGGACGAGCCCGGCGTATCATTATCTCACACGACATTTCAGTGAAATATCATAGTCTCTTCTTGCAATAACAATGATGGACTCCTATTTTATTAATGTATTTAAAACACCCCATAAACATGTAAATAAAATTAAATCTATAGAATAGGTAGGTGGAAAGACAGCAATCAAAACAAACAGCTGATCATGACATACGTCAATTTGGGAATGTCAGTAAATTGTAGATAAGTATCAGCATTACCATCCATAATAAGTTAATAATTCCATACATGGTTTACTATTTATGCATAATTCATTCATTCATACATGGTTTACTTTAAAACTTTAATAATATCAACTATATCAGTTCAACCTACTAAGATACAAGTTTACAAAAAAAGGTAACTTTAGCTGTAACAATTATTTTTTAATGGGATGAAAATTGTTACCTCGCCTATCCTATCGATACTTTGTAAAGGTAAACGAAACCTATGAGAATATTCATGCAATCTACAGCGACCGTTTATTTTATGATGGACCATGAAACAGTAATTTTGCAACACTATCAAAATAAATATTAGGTTAAGAGATTAGTAGTTTTGAGAAGTGACGCCTCAGAATCAACCCTAATACCTAAACGAAACTTCAGATTTAAACCGAAACCTGACCAAAACTAAACCCTAAAGTTCGGTCAAGCACAGAATAATAAGTTGTCAGCCTTATTTGTCTAAACTCTAGACAAGACTCGGTGTAGTGGCTGAAAGACACCCTAGCGGGAGGCGCATTACCTTTCACAGGCAAGACTGATTTTTGCAAGTTGCCACGAGACTGCAATCAAATGTAACGGCCATGCAGTTAGTTCAAAGGCTCCAGTCAGAGCACCAGTTGCTTGTGAGTGACTAAACTGTGAGGAGAAGACTGCATGAAGCTAACCTGTATGCTCGCAGACCGCTTTGTACTCCAGCGCTGCGCCTAGGAAATCGTGGACGAAGATTACAGTGGGCCCGTGAACATTTGCTCTGGGAGGATATCCAGTGATCTGTAGTACTGTTTACCGATGAGTCCCGATTTGGTTTCCATCTTGATTCACGAAGAGTACGTGTATGGCGAGTTCCTGGTCGTGAGAGCCGTTTGCGACGCCCTCAGAAAGTTCATCCTTCCCATGGCGGAACAATTATGATTTGGGAGAGAATTCGTGTCGACAGCAGAACAGACTTCGTTTTTTTTTGATGGATGAAAATGGTATGGTAACCCTGCCTGGGCTAACAGGATACGCTGGCGGAGCACCAGTGAAGGGTGATAGATGAGAATGAAATCAGGCCAGTTAGCCCATCATGATGATTTCATCAGGAATTAACCATGATAGTTTCCAGGGGAACCGCAAGGAGGTCGACCTGGTTGGGTATATTGCTAGCAATGCGATTCTCAGTCTCTATACTAACAATCCTTTTTCCCTCAAAACAGACCTCGTTTAGATCAGAAACACCATGACCACTGAAAAATAACGTAACCAGGTGCTAATACCAATTGTCCCCATCGACTACAAATGGGCCAAGAATTCACACTTATGCAAAGCAACATCCACCCGCACACAGCGCGAGCCGTGACCAGGTATCTGCAGGAGCATGATGTTTCGGTCTTAAGCTGGCCCGCGCAATCACCAGACCTAAACCCCATAGAGCACGCGTGGGACATGCTCCAAAGAAGGGCTCTGAAGGATTTTCCTGCAAACATTGCAACTGAAGAGCAACATTTTTTGCATCTAAGCAGGACCTGGGACAATATTCCACAGCAAGACTTTGATCACTTGATTCAAAGCATGAAAACCCGTTGCAGAACCGTTATTAGTGTCATGTGTGGTTTTACTGACTTCTAATTTTTGTATCATTTTAAAAAACTTGAATAGATAGCTTTATTTTTCTTTTTTCTTATAAAAAAACATTCATTTTTAAATTACTATTTTTCCATTTTTTGTCTTTACTTATATATTACTATATTCATTGTTATGCGGACGACAGTACAGGAGATGCATTATACACCGGTCATGCAAAGATCTCGCGGGCACATACCGATGAGCTCCGGAACAGACATGTGTCTGAAATCGAAACTTCACTCGATAATGTTTCGATCTGGGGTGAACGCAATCTTGTTCACTTTAACCCTAAGAAGACACAAATCTGCGCGTTCACCGCAAAAAAGACACCGTTTGTCGTATCTCCTCACTTTCAGGGCACTTCCCTCGATAATAAGTCGAGTCTGGGGATTCTTGGCGTCGATATATCTAGCGACGTCCAGTTTTGCGGTCATCTGGAGGAAAAAGCTAAGATAGCTTCCAAAAAGTTGGGGGTGCTCAATAGGGTGAGACGGTATTTCACGCCAGAAAACCGCCTGAAACTGTATAAAGCTCAAGTGAGGCCACACATGGAATACTGTTCTCACCTGTGGGCAGGAGCGCCACAGTACCAACTCCTTCCGTTAGACCGCATTCAAAGTCGGGCAGCTCGAATTGTTGACGATCGGCGTCTTACTGTCCGGCTCGACCCACTGAAACTACGTAGAGATGTTGCATCTTTGTGCATCTTCTACCGAATTTATCATGGGGAGTGTTCTGAAGAATTGTTCGGATTGATACCTGCTGCAGATTTTCACCATCGTACAACCCGCCATAAACTAAAATTTCATCCCAACCATCTGGACGAGTGGCGGTCCTCCACCGTGCGTTTTTCAAGGCACTTTCTCCCACGCACAACCAGTCTTTGGAATCAACTTCCAGCAGCAGTATTTCCGAACCGATACGACAGCGTAACCTTCAAGAAAAGAGCATATTCCTTTTTGAAAGGCCGGCAGCACACCTGCAATGCCGTAGGTGTTGTGGGTGACCATGGGCGGCGGTAGTCACTTACCATCAGGTGAGCCGCATGTTCGTTTGCCCCCTGTGTTGTAAAAAAAAAAACTTAAATAAAACTTAAATTATGCAAAAAATATGACTTTATTTTATTTTGAAGTGTTAAATGGGTTTTTCAATAATATATACATGTGGCATATTATTTATATTTTTATTTTATAAATTGAGAAATTAAAAATATCCCTAGATGATGTTGATGTTGATGTTACTTGATGAATCAAGGATGAATCACCTTAACCGATAAAGCTAAAAACTTATGGTTTGTTCCGTATGTAACATAATAACGTATCTTGTATTGGTTATATAAGTACATATAAAAATAATTATCTATTAATTATTTAGTACCTATTTGAAATATGGTGATTCAATATAATATTTTCAGTGATATTTTTTTACTTATTTATTTCTGAAACAAACATTTATAGATAATATAAGAGAAATATTAGCCGTGTGGTCCCGGCTTTGAATAGGCCACCCCTTTCTTTCCCGTGAGTGTCGTAACAGCTGACTGATGGAGGGCGAGAAATGGACAGGAATGGAACATGTCCCTCTTAAAGCATTTCTAAAGCCTTACTGCGGTTGCCAAGTTGCCTGCCAAGCTTGGCAACTACTAGCAAAACCACCGAAGGGGAAGTCTTATGCTCAGCAGTGGACAATTAAAGGCTAATATGATGATTAAAGAAATAGTCAAGTCTTTGAAACCAACAGAACAGATATCCGACTGAAACTAGATGGGGCTGGGGCTCTAAACTAAGTCCCTCATAAGGAAAATAAACAGCAATCTGTAATTGCGTGACACATTCAGTCTGATTGTATTCATCAGGAATATTATAATAAATTCATGACAAGTTATTTTTAGCTTTATCAACATTGGTTAGTTGATGTTTCATACTATGAATATTATATAGTGCCAAATGAAAGTTGATGGATACTTTATTATGTTTAAATAAAAAATAATCAAGAGTTACTAACAAGAAAGCAAAATTTTGGATAGGAGGCGCAATCATGTAAGTTTACTATCTTACTAATATAAAAAAATTGTAACTAGACAATGTTTGAACATTGAAAATATAAAAAAAAAAAATATGTAGAGATTTGATAGGAGCAATATATTTGTTCTAGCATCAGATAATAACTACTGCACCAAATTGAATGTGGTTTTCACAGTTGTATTCCTGAAGATCTAACTTAAAATCTAGTGACTGTTTTATCTTAGTACGCCTTTTTTAGTGATTACAAAGCTCATTATTAATATTATTAAAGTAATAAGATATAAATTATATCCGAAACAATATCCGGAACCAAAATAACCGACATAGTCCGAAGGATAAGCAAGCTGAAATGGCAATGGGCTGGTCACATAGCTCTCAAGAATCGACAATCGATGGGGAAGAAAGGTTCTTGAGTGGCTACCGCGTACGGGCAAATGCACAGACGACTCCCCACTAGATGAAGTGATGACCTGAATGCATTGCAGGGAGTCAGTGGATGCAAGTGGCTCAGGACCGTTCTTTATGGCAGTCTATGGGGGAGGCTTATATCCAGCAGTGGACGGATAATGGCTGAAATGATGATAAATAACATATAATTTATGTAAGTAAGTAAGTACTTAGGCGTATGGCACCCAAAAACATTGAATGGTTGACATATATAAAAATTTACAAAATGCATACATATTTAAACGGTTTTATTTATATAGATAACAAATCGATATTTAATGTTTTTGTATTTGACCCAATGAACTGCAATTTTCAAATTTAATTTAATCATTTTTAATATTTCTAATTGTTTATTTAAAAGCGCTCTACTAGCGAACTAAAACGGTAATCATAAAATATATTTCAAATAAATGTACCATTAGAAACTGTTCTGTATATTTTGCTTCGGCATTTTTCAAATACATTTTTGCCATCAAAGTCAAAAAAATTTATTTTCGCGTTGTTTACACCTATTTTGAATACACAATCGGGACTGTGTATTTAAAATATGTGTGACATGTGGATTGTCCTGTCGTGACCATGATGGGATGCAATCCACGTCAAAGTGTTGGCAATAAAGAAGCAAGTATGTAGATACTACTCCCCGACTCCGATACGATCCCGATTGGGTATTTAAAATAAGACCAAATTCTATATTACATCTGAAGATTATTATTCCATGCATAACGTTTTAGTTCGCTAATAAAACACTTTTTAAATAATTTAATTTAAAATAACTTAGATTGATTTAAATTAAATTTTGCAGAGTTCTTGTAACAACTTATAACTTTGTAGATTCCTCTGATTCGAGCGTGTGCACATCAGCTTGTATATTTTTTGAAATATAAATAAAACATTGTCTATATATCAATGAAAAACTACAATCACTCTCGGAGGAAAGTGCAGTGTGCAATGATACTCAACTCAATTACAATGCACAAGATTACAGCATACTTTATTCTTTGTGCCGTAGCCGGTACTCAGTGCTGCAAATCAAGTAAGTAAATGACGTCACTAATGACGTCACCTCTACAATGAAAACTAGTGTCCGACCGAAACAGGTTTTACAGCCGAAACCGAAATCAAAACTGAACTTTCGGCCTTGGTCTCAGTTTAAGCCGAAACCGAAACTTACTGAAACATATTTAAAATTTCTCTCTCTTCTATACTGAAATCTAGTGTATTTTTTATACAGTTATTTACACAAACACACAGACAGTTAAAGGGTAATAAAAAACATTAATTAAGGTATGTAACAAATACGTTATGTTTGTTAAATAAAACATTTTAAAATTATAACTTACTCTTGGAAGTCATTTAAAAAAAAAAAACTAAATTAATTTTCAATACGAAATCACGATATTAGTAAAGCAAATCAAGGAAAAACAAAAGCGGGACTTTGTAGCTTTCTTCTTGTGGATTAGCTAAATGTACGTTATACTTCACGCTTCGTCTTCGAGATTAGTAACTCATAGTTATTCGACAACATGTAGTAACGCATAGGTACCACCACTCATGCACTTATTTTGAGAGTAAAAAATAAATTAAAAATAAAGAAGGGTAGATTTATTTTCTACTGCTAACCTTCACTATCCCTCCCTAGGTTACATTTCGTCATTCGCATTTTAGTGTTCTGCCACTCAACACGTATTAAAATTCATAAACCTAAATCTAATAAATTTGAATAAAACAATTAATTATAACTATATTATAATTAACATACGGAATTCGATAATTTTAAAACGATTTCAAAAAGATTAAAACGATTAGAAGAAATGTTGGATACTAAACAATCTAAGGATCGACGGCGACGGATACGAATTGTCGAATCATCTTCATCGCGGGAATCTTCGCCTTCTCCGAATAACCAGCCAGGTACCTACATTTAATATATTTTTCAGTGCAATAATTTTTTGTGTTAAATATGAGTGTATTTAATACGTTTTGACCTTGACCTACTTAACAAATGCAACCTGAGCAGTTTGAGGGACTGTCTCGCCGCTTTGTAAAAGTAGTTACGGGTGCACAGTCAATGTCTCGACATCATGACAAACGCAACCTGAACAATTTCTGGGACTGTATCAATGCGTAATACAAAATTTACTTTGTATTCTCGGGGAATACAATCTTACCCACAACCATAAAAATTATTATGAAAAATGTAACAAATAGAATATGCAACCTAGACAGTTTATGGGACTGTTCATCGCATTATTCTTGTTACAGCATAGTGTGATAGATTTTGTGTTGTTATATCAGCCGTTAACTGTCCATTGCTGAACATGGCCTTCCCCATAAAGGGGGTTTTGCCAGTAGTTGCCACGCTTGTCAGGCGAATTGGCAACAACAGTTAGGCTTCTGGTGATGTTTTAAAAGGGACGCTACTGTCCATCCCTTCACCATAAACTCCCTTAGTCGTCTCTTACGACACCCGTGGAAAAGGCAAGGGTGGCCTATTCTATGCCCGGACCGCACACGGCAAATTGAATGATTGAGTATTCGAGCTACATATTAATATACAAATACGTATAATAAATATGTACAGTACGTTAAAAAGGAGACACCCCTAAAATAAATAAAATATGATAGCTTTAAATAACCTCGTATGCAACAATTATTCATGACATAGAATGACATTCTTATTACTCTTTTAAGCAGAGAATATGAAGAATCCCAACTTGATACTAGAAAAGAAGGAATTTCATAACTGAACACAGACACTGAAACTCCTAACGAGGTTCCAGTATCAGTCTTCGACGCAGAGGTATTCTCTTCTGAATTACCGAGAGCGACGGTAGAAGCCACACAAGAAAAAGCTCTAGATGACACCGTGCTACAAATATTAGGAAATGATCCAACTGCTACTGTCGAATATGGTAAGGAAGTTCATAAAGAGCTTGCCAACAGATTCGAGCACATAGCTACAACAGGACTTACTAAAGAAATTCGTAAAGAATTATGTGAAAAATACCTTGTACCCTCCAACTGTGTACACATTGGTGCTCCTAAACTAAATGCTGAGATTAAAGCTGCCTTAAACGAAACACTCGTAAAACGAAATAAAGCTGCAAAAGCTGTAAGTAAATCTGGAACAGAACTTAAAGTAGACTCGAAGAACAATCGACCGACTTGTCACGAAGAATTTAAACTGGAAGTCGCCGGCCCCAGCTCGCAGGCAGGGGGAGCCACCGCGCAACCGGAAGCCTGCCATTCCGCGCAGCCTTCAGCATCACACACACACACTTCCTCATGAAATTAGAAATAGCCCAAGCATTGGGATTTTCAAAACAAGTCTGAAGAATTATTACCTCTCACAATGCTGATGTACGTACTTATTATATTTATATATAATATATATATATATATATTTATTTATTTATTTATACCTATCGGTCTTTTCAATTGTAAAGATATTTTATTTATTTATTTTTAACTATAACATTTAAGTCGATTGGTACACATGTATGACTGTAACTACTAATGAACTGTCACTTTTCTCATATTGGGTTTGCTGGAAGAAATCTATTGGAGATAAGCTCGCCCTTATGCACTATTATGTTTGTTTTTACATTTCAATAATCTTTTTGTGTACAATAAAGAATAAAGAATAAAGAAACAATGCCGTCATCTAGTCTGCAGCGGACCACACGCCGCCGTTAGACTCGGTAATGTTCATTGGTCAACTTTGGTTGCTTCATAAATAGTGAGCTCTCATTATAAATGACATTACAAATACTGTACTGTATTGTAAAATACTATATTCTTCATTGCACTAAAACATACAGCAATAATAAAACAGGCAAACTTATCTGTAAAAAAGATTTATTTCAGTCAATCTAACACAGAACATTGTTTTGCATCAATGGTAATGGTATCAATGTAAGCTCACTCCATTTAACTTCACTATGTTTGTCAGTTTTACAAATGACTCCACATGATGCAATTCCCAAATGATGAGCGTAAATACATCAAAAAAAATCAACTAAATACATTTATTAACCTTAAATACTGCAAAATAAGAAAATTGTGACAACTTGTAAGATTATTAATAATCCACTTGCCCTGTTGTTGAATATGGGATAATATGCATAAAGAATCTTGAACGCTATAAATTTTTTATACTTACCTTTCCATAATAATCATGATAAGAGCATGCATATACTTAATTTTATAATACCCGATCTCCTTTGTATTCAACTGATTTACTGCTGATTTACTTCTTTTTATACTTTGTATTCAAAATTCCATGTATTCAACACATGTAATTGATAAGCCATAGGGTTCTGGATGACAATTACTCGACAAAAATATATTCTGACGCCTCAACGATGGGATGGGGTCAGGGTATGACACTCAAATAGCAATTTGGCCGTGCGAAGAAGCTCATTAATCGTCTAGAGTTGTTAGCAGCATTCATCGCACTCAAAACTCTTCAGTAATTTGAGAAATCGTCACTTTATTATTAAAAATAGATAACTCTACGGCCATAGCATACATTAATATAATGAGGGGAGTTTAATTCCTACACCAAACTCAAATATCGAGAGATATCTGGCAGCGATGCGAGTTTCGTAATGGAAATTTTCAGGAAATGCATTTTAAACTTTAGTACACAAATTTTTTAAACCGCAAATAGACCTATTTATTCCGTATTTACTAGTTTACTTGCATCCAAAATCATAATCTTTAAGTCTACTGAAAATCATATAATATCGTATTTCAGTGGAAGAAACATATACTCCAACCTTATCCTGGCGGCCACCATATTATCCGCAAAGCATTAATAAGAAGAAAAGTACCTACCGCTGTCTTCTATAAAAATTATGCTTGAATCAATTTCTTCTAATTCTTGGAAACAATATGAAGTATATTGTAAAAAATGGTTAAATTTTTGTAATCAAAACAAATTAGACATGTATGAGACCTCAATTTCTACAGTCCTTGATTTCTTAACGCAATTATATAATAACGTTAGTCAATACGGGACATTAAATAGCAATAGAGCTGCTTTATCTTTAATTCTTGGTCCAAATATTTCTGAAGATCCGATATTAAATAGATTTTTCAAAGGAATATTTAGACTTCGACCATCGATGCTGAAATACGATGTCACGTGGGATACTAATCTTGTTTTAAATTACTTAAGCACTCTGTACCCTAACGATACTTTAACACTCGAAATTCTTACTAAGAAATGCATCACTCTTTTAGCTCTTATCACCGCCCATCGAGTACAAACCATTTCCAAAATTAATATCAAAAACATTGAAACTATGTCTTCACAAATAATTATAAAAATACCTGATTTAATTAAAACTTCCCGACTAGGCTGTAATCAGCCTATTCTCTTTCTTCCTTCCTTTAAAGAAAATAATTCAATATGTCCTGTACAGACTCTAACTTGTTACATTAATAAAACTGCATCATTAAGGAAGTCAGATTGTCTTTTTATCAGTTATAAAAAACCTTAGTTGCCAGTATATACGCAAACGTTAAGTCGCTGGATAAAAGCTATTCTCAAAGACAGTGGAATAGACGTCTCTATATATTCCGCTCACAGTACACGCCATGCGTCTACTTCACAGGCGCACAGACAGGGAGTCAGCATTGATCAAATTCGTAAGACAGCAGGCTAGAGTGGATCATCCAATACGTTCTACAAATTCTATCACAGAATGATCATAGACCATGATGCCAATTCTTTAGCAAACGCATTATTACAATCAAATTACAACAACGCTTTTTAAAATATATTCATATTCTGCTAATTTCAAATAAAGTCTTTGTTTATGTTAAAATTATGTTGTTCTTATAATACAGATAGATTGTTGTATTGTTTTTATATAATTAATTGACTTTATATGAGCGTGTAAAGTAAATTTCATCTAAATCAGCAATAAATAATTCTATATATTCTTAGATTATAATCTATAGGTAGAGCATCGAGTTTCAAAAAGGAATACAGATAGATATTTTCAAAATCATTCTGGTATTTTTAATATTTCCAGGAACCTACTCTAAAAATCTACGTGTTGTCGAATAACTATGAGTTACTAATCTCGAACCCGAAACGGGAAGTATAATTAATGATTAAACGAACTTACCTTAAGTGAAGTTCTATCATAACTATACGAAGCGCTTCGTCTGAAGAGATTAGTAACACCCGCCCAGCAACCCCTATGCGGTTCTGGAAATATTTTCTGTTAGAGCCAGTTAGTATTCTAAACTAAATGACGAAATGTAACCTAGGGAGGGATAGTGAAGGTTAGCAGTAGAAAATAAATCTACCTTCTTTATTTTTTACTCTCAAAATAAGTGCATGAGTGGTGGTACCTATGCGTTACTACATGTTGTCGAATAACTATGAGTTACTAATCTCGAAGCCGAAGCGCTTCGTATAATTATGATAGAACTTCACTTAAGGTAAGTTCGTTTAATCATTAATTAAATTACGTTCTTAGATTTATAATTTCGTGTATTAGAAAAAAACTTATATAAACCGAAGCAAAGCAAGGACGGGTCGCAAGTGATTAAATAAAATTAAGTAATTAAAGGTTGCACAAAGTATAATTACAGCATATTATGTTAGCAATGGAGTTTGACAGCCCCATTGCTAGCAATATGCCCTATTAGGTTGACGTCCACGTGGTTCTCCCTGGAAAACATCATGAACAATTCTTGTTGAATTTGTCACGATGGATTAACTGACCTGCTTCATCCTCACCTGTCATCCTTCACTGGTGCCTCGCTGGTATATGTCGATAGCGCGGGTGGAATTACCATTCCATTATCACCCATTAAAAAAAAAACATAACAATAACGATGGACAGCGCGAAGCGAATTCAACTGAGCCGGTGTCGGTGCGGCCCATGACCGCAAGTTAACTGCAAAGTTAGCCAAACGACGGACAAAAATTCATGAACACAAAGTTTCGGTTCGGCCGAAAGTTTCGGCCAATGTTTAGCCGAAACCGAAACTAAGGCCGAAAGTAGAATTTCTGGCCAAAACTAGCCGGAACCGAAACCAAACTTTCGGATTCGGTTTCGGTCGGACACTAATGAAAACATACTTAGTCATTAGCCGTAATACTACTAGCTATTCATGCTATGTATATAATATCGACACAACAAACGTTGTTTTGCCAGTAGACCACTTATCAAGATACCATCCTATGGTGCAAGTTGGAGCAAGGATTTATAAAATTTCATTACAACCGATTAAACTCTTCGAAGATTAACGTAAACGAACATCATAACATTGACACAGAATAGGGCAGAAATTTTGTAAAACAAATTTAAAAACGACAATAAATGATTTTGACACAGCTGCATACAGCGTCTCGTTTATCAATACATGTTTCTTTAGGCACATCATTCAGTTTCACGCACAGAACACCCTTTATAAGGATGTTAACGATTTTCGATCCAGTCTTCAAATCTTTCAAAACAAACATTCATTGCGGCGGCGGCGGATCAACTATTCGTCCCGCTACCATTACAATGCGTGACGTGTAATAGTAGAAGTGGAATTAAATAAAATATCTTAATATAAGTAAGAAGTCTATCGAAATTATTTACATTTACAGGCGAATACATGGTTATAGATTACCATAATGGAGATTGGCTAAATTTTGAAATATCACATGTTAATCTTGATACTTTGATTGGAAATTATGACAAGTTAAATTGCGTGTTCGAAGTGCGACAAGGTACCTATATGATTAATGAATCCTTATTATGCTTACTAATATAATGAACTAATTTTTCACTTTTCCATAAAAAATTTTTTAACATTAACATTCTCCTACCCTTAAGTGACAGCAATACTCCATGTGGGGCCGGATTTGCAATTTGTTGAGCATTAATCGTTGATCCGTGTGAAGTAATGCTTCGCTCTATTAAGGACACCGAAATTTTTTGATGCCAGCTTCACCTTATCTTAGAAGTAGTCATTTTAATTTTATTTATTTTATTTATTTATCTTTTTGCAAACATTAGAAAATGTCTACAGGGCAGACTTAATTTATCATTATCATTAAAGAATTCACATACATATTTTAATTTTTCTGTAATATTCATGTATACTTTTGATAAACTATAATTATTTGAGATTTTGCCCTTAAGAAACTTCACAGATAAGGATGAAGAAAATAGCCAATGTTACTCTCGCTAGTAACATTGTTTAATATAGATGAAAGAATTTTTAAATTGAGCAGTTTATTACTTCTCTTTGATCTTATCGTACTTCCATAAGAATAAATAATTAAAAATGACATATTTAAAGTGCTTGTAAATAAATCTATTTGTATAAAGATGATTT